AGTTATTAAGTTAGATGGTGGTATTTATACCTGGTATATACCTGCTTTAGTCCTGGTTAAGCCCTTTAGTCCTACACCTTGTTTAGATGTGGCATTTTCTATTTTGCTGTAACATGAAATATGTTGTTTAGATGAGTGAAAAATTACTGGAGAAGCTTAAATCACATTTCTAGCATTAACCACTACATACACACCAACCTCTTTATGAAAAAAGCTCAGTGATGGTTTGCTCTCTTCTTGCCATTGCCATAAATGTTCACAAATAATGTTATCACAAAACATAAATTTTATCTATGAATAGAATATATATGCAAATATCACTTTATCAACTCAAAACTGCATATCTGATGTTTTCACTGCTCCAATAATACCGAAAGATATGAGATGTGCCTGGTACTATGGTCTCTACATCTGTACAAGAGACCAGAAAAGCTCTTTAGGAGATTTATTGACAGTGTTACTGCTAAATAATAAAAATGAAAGCCAAGTATAGGATTAAGTTTCTCAAGGGCTGTTGCAGAAATGGCTGAGCTGGTGACAAGCATCTCAAGCCATTACTCAAAAACTGCACCACTGGATTTGTTCTTGTTATCCATGTGCTCTCAATCAAAATGTAGTAAATGTGTAATGAAGTTTCCCCTACAACCATCAATATCAGTCCTTATTAAGCCTTCACTTCTGCTCCTATGACAAACAACATGGTGTAACGTGAGACTTGACATAGAGAGCAGAGGGGCCCCCGGGTGTGAAAAGGGTCTAGTCAGGGTTGGTTTAAGCCACACAAACCACTAGTCACTCCAGCCACAGCTCCTCACAGCAGGCTGCCACCATCTGGACCTGTTTCTGCGGCGACACAGCCCCATTTGTACAAGAGGTCTGCCAATGTGCCCTGTCAGAGAAGAGAGAGACAGAGAGAGAGAAGAGACAGAGAGAATGAGTGTATGTGTGTGTGTCTATGTGTGTGAGAAATGTCAGAAGGCCGAAACTCCTAAACCTCTTTAAAATTATGAACTTATGAGTAGGCTTGCATCTCCACAAACCTAACTTTTAAGTGGCCCAGGGGAGAATGACCTGCTTGTAATTATGTTTTTGTTAAAATATTCCACAGTATGAGATGAAAAGGTATATCTCCATGGAAAATGTATGGTATTAACTTTCTCCATAGAACCATGCAAGTGATGTGCCATCTCCAGAAAGTTACACACTGCTGCTTTAAGGCATGAATGCGATGGTTAAATTGCAGTCTTCATACATTAACTGCTTCTCAGGATTTTATTAGTTTAGAAAGTCCTGGGTTGCCAATTTTTGTTTTTGTTTAAACTGGATTAAATTTAGTTACAGTCCTGTGTTTGTTTTTTTTTCCTACAGTCCTACAGAGATCTTTTTATAGTTCTGTACTTGATAGGTTAATGGTGGTACACACAAGTACTTTGTATTAACATCATTTCACTTTGGTATACATAAGTATAGGATTTGGTTTAATTATTTATGTCAGACATTATCTCACAATAAATGAATAAGCTCAGATTATGAATATTGATTTTAACTAGTGCTTTAAACAAGAATACATGCAAAGTGCCCATTGTTAATGAAATGAAATCTGAAACAACCACAAGGATTTATACAAGTAGAGGCTAAATCTCAAGAAGGACACATCTGGTGTAAATCCACCAAATAAAAGAGACATTACTGGCTACGAGGCTGATTTCAAACATTTTCAAACTCCTTCATATTAATTTTTCATTGTGTCCACAGTCTCCAAACAGACTCATCTTGCACTGACTTTCTCAGAGCAGGTTCTGTTAACAAGCCATAATTATCCGTGCAGTCGGGCAATAAATCCAGACAGGTCCTTGCCTCTTGCATTAATGTCATTGCAGCGCCAACAACCACAGCTCAACTCTATTAGGTGAATGGTTTCTATGGCAACTGGCCCTAAAACCCCAAAAGGTCTGACAGAAAGGGGTCAGAGGGCATGGGCAGGTTGTTAGGCAGATAACTAACACATGCTCCACTGTGATCTGGGCACAGCCTACACAGAACACACTACACAACAAACCACTATCACTCTAAAGTCTAATGCATCATGGTGCAAGAAGTTAGCTCTGTTGACGTACAGATAAATGGTCCTGATTTTCAGTCCCAAAACACATGGGACACTTTACATAATAAACCAGCAGCTATACTCCTGTAAGCCTCAAAATCTGGAGATGTGTCCCTGGGTGATACACTTTGCTGAAATGTTATACAATATGACATTCATCAAATTTTGATATTGGCATTTGTAATATAAATAGAGGCGGATTTACAGTTCAAAATTGCTTTGAAAACATGCATTCTTACTGTGAGCAGGCTCGCCTCTCCACAGATTTGACCTGTAACTTGCTCTGGTAACATCTTCTGTCCAGAATATTTCCCATTCCAGATAAAACAACAAAAGCCTCCATGGAGACAAACAGAAAACTTACTTAGTGCAATGAATCTGTGGGAAGAATTGAGCAAGGGAGCTGTGGTTTAGATTTTGCTTACAGCTTCAAAATAGCATGAATAATTAATCAGAGCAAACTCACCACATTGTTATCAAGGACTACAATAAAAACATCTCCAGTATCTTCTGGTGTATGAGCACTATAAATAAGAAAACTGCAACCTCCTGTACATGTGTAAGGCTCACAGATCAATGGGCACCTTTTGGAAGATGAGAGAAATGGCAAACCACGTAACGCACATGTTTTTTTATTTACAGCTTTTAATCAGGTCCCTATAGAGTACGCTCTACTGCTTTCTGTTACAGGAAATTAACGTAGAGTTCAAGTCAGTGTTATGTAACTCAGCCTTGAAGATGAAAAAGAATCAGAGACAAAATAACACATCAGAGGCTATTACATGGCACTGCTAAAGTAGGGCTTCTTAAATTCTCAAAATGTACCTAGTTTAGGTTGATTCAGACAATTCACGAAAACGTCTCACTGGATTATGTCATTTGAAGAGCATTGTTTGAAATAAAAAGAATACAGAGCAGGCAGTGAAAAATAGTCCTATATCAAAATTATTGAGTATAAAAAAATAACTAGAGTTCAAGTCAATTTAAAGGTGAACTCTCTTGCTCTCTCCCTCTTTCTCTCCCTTTCTCTCTCTCTCTCCTCTCTCCCTTTCTGTGCTTTTCTCCCTCTCTCTCTTTCTTTCTCTCTCTCTCTCTGGTTCTCTCTCTTTCTTTCTCTCTCTGTCACTTTCTCTCCTCCTCTCTTCCTCCTGTTCTTGTTGCTCTCTCTCTCCCTTTTTCTCTCCCTTTTTCTCTCCTCTCTCCATTTCTCTCTTTCTTTCTCTCTCTCTCTCTTCTTTTCGCTCTCTCTCTCTCCCTCTCTCTTTCTTTCTTTCTTTCTCTTCTCTCTCTCTTTCTTCTCTTCTTCTTCTTCTCTCTCTCTTTCTCTCTCTCTCTTTCTCTCTCTCTCTGTGGCTCTCTCTCCTCTCTTCCTCGTGTTCTTTTTTGCTCTCTCTCCCTCTTTCTCTCCCTTTCTCTCTCATTTTCTCTCTCTCTCTCCTCTCTTCCTCCTGTTCTTGTTGCTCTCTCTCTCACTTTTTCTCTCCCTTTCTCTCTCCTCTCTCCCTTTGTCTCTTTCTTTCTCTCTCTCTCTTTTCTCTCTCTCTCTCTCTTTCTTTCTTTCTCTCTCTCTCTCTCTTTCTTTCTCTTCTCTCTCTTTCTCTCTCTTCTTTCTCTCTCTCTCTATCGCTCTCTCTCTCCTTTCTTCCTCCTGTTCTTTTTTGCTCTCTCTCCCTCTTTCTCTGCCTTTCTCTCTCATTTTCTCTCTGTCTCTCTCTCCTCTCTTCCTCCTGTTCTTGTTGCTCTCTCTCCCTTTTTCTCTCCCTTTTCTCTCTTTCTTTTCTCTCTCTCTCTCTTTTTCTCTCTCTCTCTCTCCTCTTTCTTTCTTTCTTTCTCTCTCTCTCTCTCTCTCTTTCTTCTCTTCTCTCTCTCGCTCTCTCTCTCCTTTCTTCCTCCTGTTCTTTTTGCTCTCTCTCCCTCTTTCTCTCCTTTCTCTCTCATTTTCTCTCTGTCGCTCTCTCTCCTCTCTTCCTCCTGTTCTTGTTGCTCTCTCTCTCTCTCTCTCTCTCTCTCTCTCTCTCTCTCTCTCTCTCTCTCTCTCTCTCTCTCTCTCTCTCTCTGTCATTTCCGATGAAGCATACAGAAAGTCACTGAAGCGCTGCACCGCCATCTAGTGTATTCATGTGATAATGCAGTTGCAGAAAGTGGGGCGCACCAGTCCTGCCTCTTTTGGCTTAACGAGGCTACAGCAGCTCTCATTGGTTAGAGACGACCTGTCAATCAAAGCCCCAGAGCCGAGTGCGGTTTAGTGTGCTCATTGTGGCTCAGGACGCGAAAGAGAACACATCCCTCCGAGAGACCCACACGTAAAAACACGAGCATGCACTATGAGCTCACAACAATCTATAGACTACCTCTGAAAATGTAATCAGCCTATAAGATAGTTGCTTAACTTCCATCTTATAACAATAATTGTGCAATTGTTTAATTAGCCTATGGGATAATAAATTATTGTTAAAAAAATGTTTATTGACATCATCAGTCATATAATTAATTAACTACATGGATAGACTTATAAATGTTGGTATGAGGTAGAGCTATTGCATGCATGTTTAGTTACTTTATTGACAAAAATCTTAATCTGAAGCACGAGAATAATAAAATAACATTGAAAGAATACTCTACAGTCGCCCATTTATATAAAAAAAAGTTGCTGTGTGGTTTGATGTGTCTATTTTGGCTTTTATGTTGCCTTCTGACTATGTTTTGACATTATACTTACATACATACAGCACTGTCTCTCTAAAATCATTTACAGAGTGTACTATCCCTGTCATATCCACCTGACGCCCATGGGTGGCAGAGCAGTTCTAGACCACTGCACGGGACGGCCACGCGGACTCTGCTCTCATTGGTCGCCCGTGCGCCTCGGCTCGTCCCCGTCGTGTCTCCTCGGTTTTTCCTGGCATGACCTTTTCCCTTGGCAACCACTTCCTCCGAGCATCCAACACGGCCATCTTTAATTTTAACTCATTCATGAAAAGTTGTCTGTCGCTTGTAAACAGATCGCAGTAGCGCGGTGTTGCTCGCCAAAGAAGCAGACGGACACGGCGCATTGTTTGTGTGTAGTTTTCCTGCGACCGCTTCCAAAAAAAAAGAACAGAGAGGCGAGCCGAGCAGCCGCTGTCCACCGAGAATAAAAAGCGTACGTGCTTGACTGTTGTTGTGGCGTGTAGTCCAGCAACAGACGCGATTCACTCCGATCTTTAGCCCTTTATCTGTGGCATTATGACAAGTATGCGCTATGCACGTGTCGGCGTGTCGTAGGACGTGTTGCGTTCGGTACCGGTGCCGCAGAGTCGTGCGTTTTGGGGGGAAAGCAGGTGGAGCGGTGTCACTGCATGTCTGAAGGGCAACAGACTGGACACTGCCATCTTTGTGTTGTCAAATTTGAAGGGGCTCGTGTATTAATAGCTTTCTTGATACAAAATGACTATAGCCAAGATGTATTCCAACAAACTACTTAAGTACCTAATGTTTTGTCAACATGCATAGCAAAAACATGTTATTGTGTAATTATAATAGAGTAGGTGAATTCATATAACCGAGTGTTTGCTAATAGTAACTCTTGTTTAGACTTGTATGAGAGCTCATAACTTTGATTGCTCTTGAAATAGTTTGATAATATGCTATAGAATAAGCCCATCCATAAAATTTGCACACAGGTTGTTCAGTTAACATAAAAATACTTAATTTATGTTTACCTTGTTCTTTGTTTTGTATTTTTAAGATGCGAAAGAAGCAGACTGCCAAACAGAGGAAGACTGAGGACTCGTCTGTTGTCCAGGAGTTTGTTGTTGAAAAAATAATACGCCGCCGTGTCTCCAACGGGAGAGTAGAGTACTTTCTAAAGTGGAAAGGATTCACAGAGTAAGTCAGATGTCATTCTATTAATAAGAGAACCAGCCTATGATATGTGAGTAGTCATTGTAATGCATTTGTGTTGTGGTTACAGTGCAGACAACACATGGGAGCCTGAAGACAACCTTGACTGCCCTGAACTCATTGAAGCTTTTCTTGTGAAAAACACACATCTGACTGAAAACACTGAAGAGGAGCTGTGTCAGATCATGCCCAAGGAGGAAATGACTGAGCAAGAAACTGAAATTGTGAGTACTTTTCACAGGGTGTGGGGCATGTATGGAGAAAACTAATGTGTGTTTTTTTGAGGAAGTTCCCATGGTCAAGTTGAGTTGTTTCAAATGTTAAATATTTCTCAATTTCAGTGATTGAGTTTACAGCATACTTGTTGTTTAAACTACTCTACTACTTCTACACTATTACTAATACTATTACTTCTACTTCTACTGCTACAACTACTACTTATGATACTATTGCTATCGCTATTTCTATTCCTATTACTATTAATAACACCGGTAGAGGTGGGCAATATATTGTCTAAAAAATTATATATTTGAACAGGCTATATGCTAAAATTGTCTATAACATACTGTACCTAACTGTAACCATGACATTCACAGTCACATTTGACATCATCATTTGATTAGCATTATCAAGTTAATGATAAAAAGCTGAGGTATTCATTTTCATCAGGATCACCCATCACTAGATGCTTGGATAGTATTGTGATCTGGCTAAACATATTACATGCTTTTTCTCTTCTAAACCCTGCGTCCTTTTGTCCTTGTCATTGCTGCAGACCTGTCTACAGTCTCAGCAGCAGACTGACAGCAGTGTCCTCCAGCCAAATGCTGAGCTGTCGGACTCCAAGTCTCACCTGAGCCCCCGTCAGGAGCCTGAATGCATCATCGGCGCCACAGACCGAAGAGGGGAACTCATGTTTTTAGTCAAATGGTAACACTGTTGCTTTCCTATGTTTTGTTTTCTGAAATAACTGCTGTAGTAATGCCATCCAGTGTGCAATCTGGATTACACCATGGCTTTATCTCTCTTGTATCACAATTTTTATACTGTTACTATCTGTGCCCTATCAGTGAAAAATAATTAAGTAATTTATACAAGTTTTAATTTTGAAGTTGTATTGTTTTGGTGGTGCATTAAGTAACTTTTTTTCTTAAGATCCAGTCACATGCTTGACAAACTTATCAAACTTGCCTTTATTCAAACTGATGCGTTTTTATTGCCCAATAATATCTGATGAACATGCACTCTTACTGCAAGCATGGTCACATATTTACAGATCTGACCTGTGACCTGCTCTAGTGGCATCACCTGCTCGTTTGTATTGATGCCATACTGTTAAACATTCTTAGCAGAGACAAGTGAGTGACTGACTCTCCACTTGAAAAAGTTACCTTTAATGACAGTTTTCAATATCAAATTTGTCCTTTATACATAAAAAAATATATCTGCTCTCGTCTGGAAAAACAAATAGCCCTATATACTGTAGGTTAGGGCTGTAATGGTTAAATTATTGATGTTATTCAAAGCTCATGTAGAACTTTTAGAAATTAAGGTATAATAGATCAAATAATTACCAAATTTTAAATGTTCTGAAACTGTGATATCTGTTGTTCATAGTTAAATATTTCTTGTGCAGGAAAAACTCTGAGGATGTGGCTCTGCTCCCGGCGCGTGAGGTGAGCGCCCGCTGTCCTCAGGTGGTCATTGATTTTTACGAGCAGAAGTTGACGTGGCACTGCAGCGAGGACGAACAGTAAGACAAGGCCGTCATGGTGCAACGCAGAACTCACCTGCTCCTGCACCCGAAGCTCAGTTTACCCTTCATCTAATGCCCCTGTAGAACGGAGATAGGCCCACTGTGTGAGATCCCAGTGGAGGAGCAGTGTGGTGGCAGGTGTGAGAAAATGAAATCCCAGGGGAGGGGGCATAGATATCGGGTAGAGATGGTGCTATGTATCCCATGGTGCTTGGAGGGCGATGGACGTTTTGATGGGAATGTAATGAGACCAAAACTAACAGTTGTGTTAATTTGGGGCAGACTAACCTGTAGCAGCTTAAGTTTGTGTCGTCATGTAGGAGACACAATCACTGTGGATATGTGGTGTTTTTAATCCCAAACAAGCATTTACCCTGTAGTTGTATTTAGTTAGAGTAAGAGGTGGGAGATGTATCTAAAAATGATAATATCACAGTTTTTTTGTTTTGTTTTTTTGGATATATGCAAAATTAGAATATCAAGTATACACTAGGTCAGAAAATTTTAAATATAAATACAATTTGCAACGTAATTTTTCAAATAAGGTTACAAAGTGATCATTCCTAACTTTTGCTTAGCTTTATGGGATTCTTGAACCCCAACCACAAGATTTACTTGTACAATTTGACACATTTCTTATGGATTTCTTTAATATTGGATCATCTAAACACTAATAGTGATATTCATTTTTGTCTATATCAACCACCCCTATAGATACAAAAATGCTGCAGAGTGAGGAGTCATTTGTTGTTTAGTGAGTAGTCTGACTGATCTAACTGCTGTGCCTCGAGACACTGTAACCTTTTCACTGTTGTTTAACTTGTGTCCATTTATAACCTTAGTTTTTCTGTATCTTGCAGTGTTACTCTGTGACCTTTATGGTTAATGTGTAATTTTGTAAAACATTACTCAGCAGAAAATCCCTAGTTTCAATTTGCAGCTATTTACCAAAAATCATTAACAAGAAGATGGTAAAAGATAATTGGCTGCGTGAATGCCCCTTTGGCGTCACACATAAAATTGGCGAGTCATATGAAGGTTAAAGGGATTGTTTAATTGCAGCACTTTAGCGACCGCCTGTTGGATTTACAGGGCATTGTCTTCCTGTAGCTTCAGGTCAATGTGACTACCTGTTTTAACCTCTCCCGTCAGTGTTATGGGACTCTGATTTGTCCAGGAATTCAACCTGCTACTGATTTTACTGTAAACAACCTACTACTGTTGACCACGAATCTGTGAATGTTTGTGAATAAAATACTTTGTGCATCTATTACATTTTTGGTGTTTTTTATGTAAGTTGATTTATCATGGGGATGCACATTCTGGTTGTTTAATAGGTCACTTTATCAAACAATCATGGATTAGTTATTAACGACGTGATGTCAATGTACATTTTAAATAACATCTTATCAAAAAGTGTCATTAAAACTAAGGCAAATTATAGACTTGCGTATTTTGGAAAAGGTGGGTTAGGTAGGTTTTCCAGTGGCAGGGTATCTTCTCTTTCATACAGTTTAGTGAGTAATTTTAGATTGGCTATAATAGCCTATAATATGATTGATTAATTAAGCATTTTAATATTTCAGTGTTTTGTTAATGCTGACTTATTAGAGGTTTCACACATAATTTACATCACAATAAAAGTCATGCGGTTATTGATGTTAATGGAAACAAGTTGGCACAAGCACACGTGCCATGTTTGTTGTTTATGAGTTGGAAGTTTTTCACTGCAGCCTGTGAGGGGAGGAGCTCCAGCAGCCGTGTGTTTCTGAAACCTTTGTTCATGAACAATAAAACATTAAAATGAAATGCACCGCAATCATCACAATCTGAGGTTTTTGGAGTATGACAGAAGACACCACCACAAAACAAGTAAGACCGTTTTCCCATTAAAAGAAAGTAGCTTTTTATATTTTTGTTCATTTAGTTCAAAGTACATTACCTTACTATATTGTGTAAATGTTGTTTGTTGCAAGAATGGATATTCTTTGAGAATTTCCGTTCCTGATTTTGCCTGTCTCATCAAGATGCTTCCTCTTTCCATCTACAAAAAACAACTTCCTTTTTTACTATTTGTTATCCTGTGCGCTACATGTGTCAGTGTCTCCTCTGCCTTTTCCATGCAGCAGACAATTAGTGTTTGGGTTCGCGACCCAAGAATTCAGAAGAATGACTTTTGGCATGCCTACATCGACTATGAAATCTGTCTCCATGTGAGTACAATTACATATCATTACAGTTACACATACTTCTGTTGTATGCTAAACCTTTGCCCTGTTTCAGACGAACAGTGTTTGCTTCACAAAGAAAACCTCCAGTGTGAGACGAAGATACAGTGAGTTTGTATGGCTCAGGCAAAAACTAGAAGCGAATTCCCTGCTTATGTGAGTGTACCCCATTAACTTTCACTTTTGGTTTGAATATCTGAGTAAAAATGTGTTACATATTTTGTAGGATAAAGCTTCCAGAGTTGCCTCCCAAAAACCCTTTCTTCAGCCTGAATAATGCGCGTCAGATCACAGAGAGGATGACAGGGCTGCAGAGGTTTCTGGAACAGTAAGTGTGAGCTCTCGGATCAATGCTGCACTTTGACATGTTTTTGTACAACAACAGCTGACGAATCACAGTTTACATATGGTAAAAGATAGAACACAGGAAACCTCTGGTATTTATTTTAGACTCTGTTATGTGTGACTCTGACTCAGCTCTTACTTTAATAAATATAATCAGTATTTTAAGTGCATGTGATCCAGTTATGCACTGTGTAACACTCTGTAACCACACATGTTGCCACAGGTCACCAGAAAAACGTTTAAGCCTTCTTTTTATTTTTATTTTTTACCAGATCTAATACATTAACAAACTCAGCAAGGACTAAACCAAGTCGTCATAAAATCTAAAGATCTGAATTAATAAAGTGGAACGAATAATGTTTTGATCACTGTAGTATCTATGTCTGTTTTTTTATTGTTTATCTTTTATGTTTGCCTTTTTGGTATAGCTATCTTTTCATACTGAATACAAGGAAACTATAATATGATCTTCCTTTATGGCGGCACATATAGATAAACTGACAATTAAAAACCTTAAATTGAACCATTTTGCTGTTGTTCCAAATCTATGTGATCATATGTCTCTTGTGTACAGGATTCTTCAGAGCCCTCTGCTCCTGTCCGACAGCTGCCTGCACCTCTTCCTTCAGTCTCAGCTCAGCGTGAACAAAATGGAGGCGTGTGCCGAAGGGAGGACGCCGTTCTCTGTGTCCCAGGCCGTGCAGCGCTGTGGCCTCAGACGTTTCCACTCAGACGAAGATCTGCACAAAAACATGAGCCTCAACTGGGATTCAGACAGGTACAACAATATAAGAGTCCACTGTCCTTATCCTTATCTTTAACAAACATATATTTCATTGGTACTTGGTAATTTGGGCAAAAATACTGAGGAACCTTTTGGACGTAACATCTGATTTATGTATTATTGATTAAGCCAGACAGGTGTGCCATAAACTGTGGAACTATTAAATAAAAGTCTCAAGCTATGACTTTTTTTTTTTTTTTATATAATTTCAACATCTGATTTTCTCGCAGGCTTTATGAAAGTGGACAAGTACCCAGAATATTGAGTATTGTTACTTAAAAAAAAAACAGTAATAATAAAAAAGTAAAGAATGGTGTGATAAAACTACTAGGACTAAGAGACTCAAATAAATGTAACTCAATGCTGCTGCCTAACATCTGTCTAACATTCAAACATCTTTTTGCCTTTCAGCTCTGAGTGCACTGAGACTGAACCATCGCTGCTAAACAAATCCCAGAGTGCAGCATTATTCCGGTATCCAGAACTGGACCAGGAAGACTCTCGGAACTGCACATGTGAATCTGCATGAACTTTCACCAGATAACTGAGCTTTTGGGCTGTTACTCGTTACTGCACTTTTACCATAATCAGTCAATCTTCAGTGTAAAAAGAATATAGCAAATGTGTTTTAATAATGTTTGTTTAATAATGGTGCATTTATTGTTTATACTGTCCCACATCAGTGAAGGAACATGGCTCTAAACTTATATCGAAAGCTTTTATTAATACTAGTGCTAGTATTGGTTACATCAAAAAGCCGCCATAGCACACTAAACATTAGGTATAATAGTTAGTCATTACACCTAATAATTCAAATGTGTTTTTATAAATTATGAATTGCAAAACCAAGGAAAAGTCTAATAAATGACATGAACTCTATTGCAGCAATGCTGTAGTAGCATGTTTCCTAAAGATGGCAGTGTTGCTGCATCTAAGCCCTTTATTCATTCATTCTTACATTACTTACATTAAACACAAACAAGTTAAGTATAGAAATTATATCCAACATGAAAATCAAGCTGACTGTATAGTAAAGAATATGATGTTTTCTAGAGCAAAAGGGAAGAGCTTGTCATAGACTGGCTGCAGTGCTTAGCAGGCTGACATGTGTAATAGGCTCTGTGCAGACGCCCCCTGTCAGGTGTGTGCTATAGGACGTCCTGTAGGGTCTCCATGGACCTGCTCCTGTCGTAGGGGTCTTGCTGTAGACAGGCTACATTGCTCCCCGCTGAGCTAAATGCCAGCTGCACTGACAGCGCACCTTTTCAAACTGTCTCTGATTGTGGTTTTCTTTAACATTTTGTCCATTGTTCTGAGTCTACTCAGAATACTGGTGTTCCCACAGTGAGCAGCAGCGCACTTATGCAAAGGTAATGGCCACTAAACATAGTGACAGCACCTGACATATCTATGCAGTTAATTAGATTATCCGAGGCTCTGTGCGCTGAGATACTCATTACACATTCACACAGTGCAGACAATGGGCCCAGCACAGACAGGTGACGTCACCTCTGCCTCGCTCAGAGCACTTTGGACAGAAGGGAGAGCCCACAGAAATGGAGGAGTGGGTGTATATGGGCTTTTAAGCACATCTAAGTATGCAAATGAATCAGACTTCTTTGTTGGCGCTTAACTGTCTGAGGCAAATGACTCTCTCCTTCACACATATATGCCCTGGCACTGCCGCACATGTTTACTTTCGAACCATATTTTATACAGCTGTTAATACCTCCAGAGCACAGAGACTGTTTAGTATTCAGTCTAGATGTTCAAATAGAAATATAGCCCATTGTTTTTAAAGAATCTCACAAACACATTTCATCTCCAATAGTAGACTATATAGTGATACAACTCCATTGTATGGTGAACTGAATAATTTAGGTTTTAATTTTAGGAAGAGCAAAAACAATATTGACATGTTTTATTGGTCTGCGTCTCCGTTCCAGTGGCGGTTAACCTTGAAATGCCATAACCTGGTCTGACACTTGGGTTCTGCTGCCATGACAACATTGACACTTTTAAATCCATGAGATCAATTGGTTCAGTCTTGTGCAGAATTGGTGACCCTCAACAACTTGAAATTATAATGAAGTAAAATACAATACAGGGAATACAGGATTTAGAACATAAATATCAAAATCTTAAGAAATTGTATTTTTTAAATTATTATCAGTGCTTGTGCATGTAGGTGTATCTGTGTAGCATAAATATACTGTTTAACACAAGCAAGAAAATAAGATGAGTGAAACAGCTCCTTTGGGAAATACCCATCTGTCTCAAACCAAGTCAGCAAGTCTTTGCCAGACCAGAACAAACCCCAGCTCATATTTGTGCTTTTTATGCTTGTGTTATTATTGATTCACTTTGTGGTGTAATTAACAAAAAAAAATATACCCAACGCAACTAAACAGTAAATGTAAAATTCTTTCTAATCCTGGCCAAGCATTTTCCTCACAGCCAAAACAAATGGCATATGCAGATTTGCTCCAGTTGTGACCCATTAGAAATAAATCATAAGCAGCGTACTTATTTTGGCAGTACCTCCTTTAGCAGAATTTATAGAGACAGAAGTCCAGCATTAGGTTTACTTAAGAGATTATTTTTGGTCACTGCATCTTTCATACTCAAACAGTTTAGCCTCAATTAAAAGGGGAAAAATGAAATATACATGACACAGACGGTGTATTGTGTATAAGTATTTTTCACTCCATGACAATGATTTACAGAGGACACACACAAAAAATTAAAATACATCAAACTTCTTTTTTTTTCTGGTCATCAGAATTTATCTAGTGAGACAGTTTTAAAAATATTTGCTAATAGATAATACTGAAAACTAAATAATTATCTTACGTTTTACATCCTTTAATCATTTTTGTCACCCTATATATAGCATATTTTCAGTTCTCTTGCTATTCTTGTACTTTGCATTGCAACATTGGAATTTCCCTATTGTGGGAAAAATAAATCCTTTTTTTTTTTTTACTTTGTCAATAAGGCTTTACTCATGGAGATAAATATAGCCAATATACTTGTGACTAATAAATATGTCTGCAAAATAATATTACACATTTTTTTACAAGTCGTTCAAATAAATAAAACCTACATCTGCACTTAGTAGTTTTTCACTACAATAAAAAGTGGGAAAAAGTGATAATTTTGCCTTAGAACTCGAGGTATTTCAAGGTCTCTTTCATTCCGAGGCAGTGATTTACGGGGGCCACAAAAATTCCTGAACCTTTGAGCCAAAACGGGATTCCAAAGGCTGCATCTGTCCTTGTGTGCCCAAGACAGACCCTCCTCTGCCACCTGTCAAACTGAGCAGGAAAAATACTTCAAGTCATTCAGTCAAGGCTAAAGCATTTTTCTTTGTCACTCCATTGCAGGACATGGAAATGAGCCAAGTTCAGATGCATCAATCATTTGGCAAATTCAACAGCCCTTGGTATCTTCTCCTTTTGGTTCTGCATGACGACTCTGTACCTGCCATTTCCCTCTCGCAAGCTGTCACCAATTACTACTGCAGATAAGATGAGATCATTGTACCAAAGCAAGAAACTGCCTCTCATTGCCTTGTGTAGGCACTCATCCCAATGCAGTCACTATGGGTTGTACACGCAGCCAAAATTGAGAAAGGAGGGAGCACGGAAGAAAAGATCACAAAATTATAATGTGGTGTGTAAAATAAGACATGTCCCATTGGAGTGCACAGATAAAAACAGATGGAATAGAATGGGCAGCAATTCAAATAAATATAACAACATACAAAGCAGGCCTTCCGTATATTGTCGTATGGATTCATGTCTTAGCACAAGGGACCAACCCCAGAGTGTCACCACATTGAATCACGCCCCCACTAGAGCCATGTCTTGTTACAGATGAGGAACGAGAACAAGGGGAGTGCTTTGGTCGGAGGCGGACGGGTGAATCCGGAGACACCCACAGACACCAAGAGGCACCCTGAGGTGGCGGTGAGCGGACAGCAGAGCCCAGGGAGCAAGAGGAAATGGAGAGGGGTAGAGGGCAGTGTCTCCTGAGGCCTATGTGCTTGGCTGCCAGCGTGTGTAAATCAGCAGCCAGCTCACAGCCGCAATGAGGTAGAAAATAAAAAAAACATAAAAATGTCCAAGTGAAATAAGAGGCAAGAAGAAATCTTTTATGATGAGCCTAAATTCTCCTTAGTCTGCAGTAGATCCAGTGGTTTTGGTTGTCTTCTCCAGACACCATCTATCATCAAAACCAGCATGAAGCGACAAATTAATCAAATATCTCCACCTACTGTTTCTGTAATGAACATCCTAAATTCATATCATTATCATTTATGGGAGGCCATGTTAGTAAGTATGGCTGTAAAGTGATGGGTGGGCTCCAAAATCTAGACAAATGTACACACATGCCTGTACACACAGTTTTATATTTTCATTAAATTGTGAACAAATGCACAAATCTATAATTTTTCTGCCCAGATCTCATGGAGCACTTGATTGCAGACTTAAAGGTTTTACTACAACTTTTGATGGAAGGTCTTCATGGAGATATAGTTGCCAGAAATGTTCCACGCTGGTATTAAACTCATCTAGAGAAACGACCCGGTTCACGGTAAGAATGTGGTTTTGGGTTTTTTTTTAGCAAACACCTAATTCAACACATGCTATAAATAGGTTTAATACCATGCTGTGGTAATACCGTGCTTTGATACTTCTAGGAAAGCAGTAATATCTCCATGGAGGCAAGCAGGTGGTCGATCCTTCACCAGAAAAGTTACATAGCTCATGGTTAATCACATAACCCAGCAAGATCTTATACAAAAAGTAGGTTTATCAACGTGGCGGGTTAAGTGACAGGTGTGTTGCATTGGACTTATAAAGACATTTGAGAGTCTGATTGCAGTGATGATTTGGTCATGTTACTCTGTACGTCCATGTGACCATTCTGTCTGTATTGATGAGCTCTTGCGTCTGCACTGGACTCTAAATTAGTTCAGGTTAGCTTGACAGGACCTAGGCTAGGACCTATACTGAAGCTGACGCTAAATGGCAGCAAGCATCTTTTCACATTCCCAGCTTTGCAAGTCTTGGTAATTCAAGCCTCATACTTTTACTTCCTCTGCCAAGGCTTAGCTTTCAGAAAAAAGGTGCTATAAAAAGATCTGACATTGAGAAGGTGTCTATGTAGCACTGAGGGTCAGGGTAACAGGGATCTACACATTGTGGGGGTCAAAGAGTAGAGACTGATCCTGGAAACTGGTCCACTTGTATAGGAATCTTTGGTGTGGTTAAAGAGCAATGGTCTGGCCCTATGCCCTTTGACAAATAAACAATCCTACAATCATTATTTACAGCACTAACTAGCAGAATAAATCAAGTAATTGAGCTGATATTAGAGACAGAGCTGGAGAGTAAACAGGGCCCAGAGTATGGATGCCAAAGACTTGTAAATAATCTGAGAAAGAGGTCGTGCCAGGGGAAGGTGTGGGAGATGTTTATAGCAGGTGGACAAACAGCTGTCACTTTGATAAGCCTGATTTATCCCGAGTGGCATGTCAGCGCATAGCTCCAGTGGACATGACAGCCAGGGCTGGACTGTGCAAGACGAGAGCTGTGTGGAGCATTGGAGCGAATAACAGCATGAGAGATGACAAGTTGGATATAGAGTAGGAATGGCTCAATCAGAGTGAGAATATTATGGGATTAGACAGAGCTGGAGTTAGACTAATAACATGCATTTGGAAATGTACACTGATCAGATAAATGCGACATAGACACGTGAGGTGGTTGACAGATTGTCTCTCCTCTGTGCTCCTGATGAGTGGGATAGACTGTAAGAATTAGGAAGAAGGTGACCATTTTGTCCTCACATTTGTTTTCTTTGGAAAAAAAAAAAATAATATAGCATTAATATAAGTTCTTTTTTTTTTTTTTTTTTTTTTTTTTTTTGGCAAAGGTCAGTATCTATTAAAAAAAATCCTAGAAAGAAAGCGTGAACAGGCAACAGGTGGATAAGAGGATGAATGTGTGGTACAATCCAACAGGTTGTGTTTACAACGTTACTGTTTTAATTTCAGATGGCAAATGGGGCCAATATTGCTATGCTTGATTTAGTATTTTGAAATTACCAAAACATTTCTGTTAGGGACTAGGTCCACAGATTTGCCACTGTAATCTTCAGGTGGCTTGTACCATTTTTGTTTTATATTGTTACTCAGTAATTTCAGAGGTTATATCTTGGCATTGTGTCTGGTCTTGGAAGCTAAGTAGGTCACATTAGACCTGGTTTATACTTTGAGTCTTTGATGGGAAATCTTTGGGAATACCACAATGCCACAGTGGGACAGCAGTGGCTCTAGTCGAGTGCATACTGTTATTGTGTCCTTGAGCAAGACACTTTATTTACCATGCCTCCAGTATCCATGTACACTCATGTATGAATGAGTGTTTGTGAGAGTGAGTTTGGGACAATGGGTGGAATTTAGCTCAGAGCATCTGACGCGTTCATTAAAAGACACTGTTCCAACCATATAAACAAATAATAAAAATTAAGTTAAGTTATTAACCACAAACCAGGGATCACACAATCTATTACTAAATATTACTTTTAATTAGTTTGTTGCTATCTGAGTTGTATTATAGATTTTGGTTATTATGCTTAACTGATATAATTGTGTAAAGACCCTGTCTCTCCAATAAGACAATTAGCACTGACGATATCCATGGTAACACAGGAGCATGCGAGTTGTAGGTGTGGCATGTTATAAATGACCTGTCTGAACTTATATTTACTGGTCTTCCACTAACCCGAGTCTGCCGCTCATACTAATACAAATTACATTTTGAAAAACCACTGGACAAATTGAAATCTGCTAAACGTCACATTTTAAATATGAATTTTCAGTGCACCATGTCAGGATCTGTGTTAGCTTGGACTTTAAATCGACCACATCTCCGCAATGTCACCAGGCCTATAGTGAGGAAATCTTAATTTGTCAGCTGCTATGAGTTATGTCAGCGGAGACTGACCTCAATTAAGAGTGACCAGCATTTGAAAAATGTCTATTTTAGATTTAAAGATTTTGAGCAGCAGAAAGGCTTTAATGGAACGCTGACAGAGGGCCAGTGGCGAGGTAATAGATTTCCTGCAAAATGCCAGAAGATCTCACATAAATAAGAGAATGTTATTCTTGACAGGAAGCTACTATGATGCTGTGTGGTGATGAATGCATGGTGGCATAGACTTAAGACAAGTATTTTAAAGTATTATATTTTTAAGCTTCAATAGTGTGTATTTTATATACTCTTTACAGGGAAGCTTAGTTCAATAAAATCATGGGTTACTGAATTTAGCTTTAGATAGTATTAAGTATACTATTTTTATTTCTCCAATGAATTTCAGTAGTTTGGAAATTGTGTTTCTGTATCTTGTAGTTTATTCCCATGGGAATCAATTGAGAAATTCTGATACTAATGGGAGTAGGATAATGTGTGAGTTACTTAATTGTATTTTCTGAAAACTGAAACACTTGGATCATGCTGAATAATGTGTGGCTAAAACGCTTACTTATGGTGTAAAACAAATTCAGCATCGATTACCACTTTATTTATTGATACACCACAGCTCAATCTATGCATTTGGCCACCAAATGTGTCTTTATGGTTGCAAGTATTAATTAGTGATATTCTGGTATCATTAGTGTAATTTAGTGCTAGAGGATTAATGGCATGGTGACATTTATCTATGAAACATTATATCTTGATGTTAAATTGCAGTAAAAGGACTTGTATATTCAGGGGATATGACTGTCCAAATCTAAGGGGGAGGAGGCTGTAGTTGACATCCATTAAGGAAATCCTTTATTGGCACATAAAAATTTGCTGCAATATTTAGCCACATTTGTGGCTTGTAACACTTGCAAAAAGTGTAGACTTTGTTAGGGTTTGACTCAACACTCGACAGTTTGAACTTTTTTATTGGTGTTGGATAATCAAGTCCAAGAAGCTCCAATTGTCACAAAAATGTCGTCTGTTGAAGTTGGCTGAGTGACTATTATATTGTTACACAGTGATAAAACAAAGGATTTTCTCCCCTATACCAATGTACTATATTCAATAACTAATTATGGTAATTCATTACATCTCCAATTAGAAGACAGGTTTTATAACTGCAGAGCACCGTAAAAAACGAGATTTATGTGGGCTTTGAATGTCACCCAAAGGACGGAGGACTTGCTCATCACTCAAGAGGAACAAAACAGAAAGACAGGAGTGAGCAAAAATTCTGAGACAAAGGTATGATGAATTATTGCTTAATGAAAGCAGTTTTAGTCCCATTTTCTCACAACCTTGAAAAAACCTTGACAAAAACCCATTGTCTGCTGTCTGCAGATTTTTAGTTTAAAACGATCTTATACATGTTTTGAGTATACAGTTATGTATACAGTGTATGCCACCTGACTAAGATGTGTCCACAGCGGCACCTGTCAAACAGCTCCTCAGAGGGCGATAAGCTGCTCTCCCTGTGTGCTCCTGTCTTATTAGTGCACCTCCACTCCTCACTACAGGCTCCAGGCACAGCCAACCATCTGCCACTCTGATCTCCTGCCCACAAGCTCTCTCTGCTGCCATAACACACAGTCTTGTGCTGCCTTCAAGCCAACGCACGACCAGACACAACACCACATTAAAGACATCGTTTTACTTTTATTAGACATGTTTACAAAACAGTGACTTTTGAAAACAAAAATGACATTAATGTGGTCTGAAAAAAAACTGTCAACTGTGACCACAGAAGTAACTCTATTGCCACCTTGTGGCATGTGAAGCAAATAAATAAATGGAAATTGAAATGAGTCCAATAAAAATATTAGCAAATTAAATATTACAACAGAAGGACAAAGGATCTCTCAGTGCAGAATCACAATGAATAAACATATACAAATATCTGTCTGAAATGCTTTTTAGTAGACAACAAATACTGTGCAGGAAATGAAACAGACCATGTAATTTGTGGTCTATTTATTCATTATATTTTTTAAATATTTTTTCCCACATAACTTACTGGAGGTGTATTTATTTATACTGTATAAAGCTCTGCCAGGTAGTCTTTGGGGACAATGCCAATGGCTCCATGCTTCTCTCCAACCCACCAACCAAAAGTGTTGTATTCCTGTGTAAAAAACAAAGCAAAACACATTCAGGAAATCACATTCAAAAACATCACCATTTCTTAACCCTCCAACATGTATTTGTACATCACAAATAATTCAAATAGCCTAATTTTCACTTTCTGTCTGTCTCCTTATGTGGTGGCACTTATGAAAATGCACACTCACCACTCAAGACAAAGCTCTGTGTGCAAAGAGCCCTCACACATAAATCTGCCACTCTGCAACAAGTAATGGCTCTAAATGTCTGTCAGTGTGTGGAGACGCGAGCAGCTCGGGCCAAGCAGATCTGAAATCAGAGTCCTCCTCTCACATCAAAGTCCTCTCACACAGAAGTCACAACAGAGATCCATTTCTGCAGTCACAGAAGAAGAGTAACCAGCCTCCACACTCATGTTCAAACTCATGCACAGAACAACATTTGTGCCACTCTCAGAGACATGTACTTATGAATGACCATATGGTTATATAGAAGCCAAATTACAATAATAGCATTAACAGGTTATAGGTCATGTATCACAGAGGGACATAACATGGACACAGGGACATGACATTTTAAACTTTAACAAAGTGTTTGATTGATCAAAAATCCACCCTTAATATGTCTTCATACAGCTTGCCTTTTGGGAGTGTTTAGGAAATCTCAAATAGACAAGTGAAAGAGCAAGTAAACTCATAAGACAGAAACATAAACGCACTGTCGCATTACTGTGTAGCCTGAGTTCGATGGCTTTAATGTGATAAAGACTTTGGCCTGGAGAACTCCACTGGATCATATTTGGACAGTGTTTATGTCCAGCCCATTTGGCTAAGGTAATGGGTTAATGATCATACATCCCTCAATTTGTTTTATGTGCTGTGACTTGAGGAGGGAGGGTGGAGCTGCGGCAGCACAGCCTCCTGTCACACTCACCCTGGGTCCGTCTGGGGGGTCTCGCTGTAACACTGCTATTTCTGGGCTGAGGAATGGGGGAGGGACGGAGGAGAGAGAAAGAATGGAGGAGGGACTGAGGAGAGGAAGATGGGGGAGGAAGTGGTCTGTGCCTTTAGCTGCAGCTGGCTGCTACAGTCCAGACAGGTTTTATGGTCATTGCCCTTGCAGCGGGCCACAACCCCCAACACCAAGGTTCCACCTAATGGCACTCCTCGTCTGAGTGAAAGGGCAACTTGAGTCTTGGTCCTCTTCCACAAAGACAGGGGCAATAAACAGGCATTTGGGAAATGAGTACAGCAACACTCTGTCTGCTTTGTGCATTTAGCCCCTCCCATTACAGCTACTAGATCAATTAATCAATTATTTTTTTTATTGTCTTCTTCCAAAAGCACCTGTGCCAGGAAATAAAGTCAAAACATAATAATATTGTTTACGCTATAACTGCAAAAATAATAATAAATCACGTAATCATTCAATAGTAATAAAAATATTCAATGTAGCTATTTCAAAATACTCTTGGTATTGGGCTTCTATTTAAATTGTGGCTCTTCATCTTTTTTGAGGCTCAATAGCACCGTGTTTTGTAAGTGCCAAAACGTACCACTAGATGGCGCACTTGAATTTGAAAAGTCAAGTGATACAGAGCTGAATCTGGAAATAGGGCGACAGACAGCTTCACGCACTAATAGAAATATTGTAAAATAGGCGATATTCACAACAATAATGTCTGAGTATGTGTTATTAAATCAGATGGCAGTATCAGCCTCGGACCCATAACCTAAGCTTGGATTTTCTGAGACCAAAAATGACTATTTGACAAAGTGAGGTGGAGAGTTGTAAGAGGTGTGTGGGCTGAGAGGGAGCCTGCTTTAGCTGCTTGGTATGACAGCAGCAGCTCCGAGCAGAAACAGCCCAGATGGAAATGATGGAGGGGAGCCCGGTGCCAGCTCAAACAGCCTCCGCCAACAACACTAAAACAGTTTCCGTGGTGACACAACTAATCCCCATCACCGCAGTGCCAGACAGAAAAACCTAGTCCAGTCTGCTTGTACCAACAGCCCTGGGCTCCTGGCAGCGGGCCATTCACTGCCAGTAAAAAGGATACACATAGTCAGGTCCTCCCAGGCCTAGAATTAACTCTCTTTAGGTGGTCTGTGGCCAGCCATAGAACAACATGTCTGACTCAGGCAATATGCTAAGGCTACAGGGTATTTGAGCCACAGCGTTCATCAACAGCCCACCTTTATTAAAGAAACAATGCCCCTCTCAGGAGAAAAAGCCCACTGTATGTGACTGTACCTTGCTGAGAATGTAGATGGCGTCTCCGCGTTTAAAGGACAGCTCGTCTGGGTGGTCTCCAGTGCAGTCCCATAGGCCCTGGTAGAAGTTCTTGTAGTCTGTGCTCTTATTAACTGCTATAAACAGAAAACTCATACTTCATCTTAAAATGCTATTATGTACAATTATTTAGCCATGTATACATTCATTTTATTTATACTAGTCCACATTCGTTTTAGTTTTTCTACTACACATATAATCAAAACAACAGTGACAGCACTACAGTTGATATAATTATAACAGAGAAGTGTGTGATTTTCACTCATCTCCTTTAATGCTACATAAAAATGCAAATATTCTGCAGCTTCCATAAGTTACAACTTCAGCAAATAATGTTTGGATCATTATCAGCGAGAGCGCTTTGCTAAATCTTTTGAAATCCCCACAATATTCGCACTTGAAATATGTGCATTGTATGCATATATTTACATATAAGCCGCTGAACTAGAGACAAAATGTTGTGTAGTTTATTGTATATGGTGCAAGTTTGAAAAACACTGGGTATGTTTAGAGTGCTATAATAACAACACAGTCAGTAAAAGGAAGTTGCTCACATCCAGTTTTGTGTGCACTCAGTGTGAAACTTCCCTTTATGGAGACCATATCTGAAGACAGTCTGTATTATTATGACCACAATGAGCGTACAAAGATATCTGCTATGTTTAGTGCTTCGAGTTTCATGGCATACAAAAAATATATTTGTACCTGGAGCACGGGCAGGAGCAGGAGCTTGAACAGGAGCAGGAGATGGAGAGAGTTTGCTGACTGGCTCAGTTTTTGGAAGCTCTTCCTCTTCTGAAAAAGAAAATATAACAAATACATGTACATATACGCTTTAAAAGGGTTAAAAACAGCTAAAATATTTAATATGGTATGGGCACTTTGCTTTCTCAGTCCAGACAATGTAAAATAAATAAAAATAAAAAAATCTGGTGTCTTTTTTTATTACTCATAAAATGCATTAATAAACTTTAGCTGTTTTAGCCCTTTTAAATCATATTTAAAATCATGAAATATCACAGTGAGCCTTACATAAACTTGTTCAGGTCCTTATCAAAAGAATAGTCAAACCTGGCAGTATTTCATAGATGTCCTCATCAATTGGCTCCACATCTCCATTGTCCATGTCCATTGCATGTCCAACATCATCATACATTTCCTGCTCTTCCTCGTCCTCTGGTATGATGCCAGTCATGTCTAGAATCAATACACAACAGCATGTAGACCATTTGAGTCATATTAATAATGCAACTAACCTAACTGAATAAAACATAGGTAAAGGCCAAACCTTTCAAAACAAAGTCTATCTGTTTCACCCACTTCTCCGCCTCTTTCGCCGATGACGCACAAAACTGTGACGAAGGTGAGGCGTATTCACAACTTTAGTCAGTTCAATTCACAGTTATACATGTATTAATTAACATAAACAAATAATACAAGATTTATGCATAGTAAAATGTTCCACATGGGAGAGTCTGAAGCCTCATTTAGACACTAATATATGCGCGTCAGTAAAGCCATTGCAAAGGCAGCAGTGTCAAATGAATGAAGAGGTTTAAAAATGGTTTTACTGAGCTGCCTTCACACACCCAGCTAGATTTTAAAGGTGCACTGCGTAACTTTTCAGATGAAGGGCCATATGGAGATATTATTGTCAAGTTACTGCTTTACCTGCTATGTTCTACAGTATGGAATAAATTATGCCATCAGACCAAATTACACATCAGATCTGGTGAGGCGCAACCCCACTCTCTGTTAAAATAAATTTTTGTTTCTTTTTAACAATAAAAAAGTAATTGAAGACAGAAAGTTGAATGCTATTCTCGTACTGTGGAACACAACACGCAAAGCAATAACCACTCCATGGAGACAAGCATTTGGCGGACCCCCCACTAGAAAAGTTAATGCACCATAAGAGTTAACTTTTCTAAACAATATTTCAAATTTTGACATGCATACCTGATAGACTCTCTTGTCTGGCGCCGATATTTCAAAACAAAAATCTTTCTTGGAGTCTTTGCGTAAGGTGTTATTCATCTTGACAGAGTAGCCATCAATGCTGAACTCGCCTTTCTGCTGCTTATCTGTTTAATTAAAAGAGGTACACATGGCTCTAAGTTAATTGTCATTCAGGTGTCAGATATTTATTGTATACATCTTAAAAATATACAAAATAATTAAACCTTTATCACTGCCATAATAGTAGAAGGTGTGCTGGCTCAGAGCACACCATCTTTTCTGCCACTCAGTCCCAAAGAAGCTGTGATCTGAGAAAACAACATGTGGAATAAATAACTATAGTGAAAAAACTGCTTGATTTATAGAAAAAAAAAAATTAATTTGGGTTATAACTGAAATCCCATTTATTTGAAACATGCATTTATCCAGAATCATATAATCATTTGCATATCCCTACATTCTTCAAAGCAGCGCGAATACAGGAATACTGACCTTTTCTGCGTTTCTCGAGATAACCAGCCTTAAAGACAGATGTGAGGTCCTGAGCTGCCACAGGGGGAGACTGCTGGACCCCTGGAAAACAACAGCTGTAACTTAGTCACACTGTACTTTTTTTATAGGAGAAAGTATCCCTGAATATCATAAGGGTTAGGAAAGTTACATGTCCTGTGCATTAAAGCCATTCATTGAACTGTAACGTTGGAAAAAGCTGGACACAGCCTAATATTAAAATTTCAATACTAAGAAAAAAACTTACACTCAAAACTGATTTTGGTACCACAATTATGAGTACAAAGATGCTTTTAACAATGTAATTACACAATCAAATAATATAGTTGTTTCATAAATATTCCATGTGGTCATATTCTAAAGATCAAGATCATTTTAAAACTATTCAGGAAAAGTCCAACTTTGTCCCATATGTAATCATGTTTATCTTCATCTTTTTTTTCTAAGCCTAGTTTACAGGCAACAAATCTATATTTAAAGTAACATCTTAACCACCACTATACATATGTTTCTCTTGTAAGAAAAATGATATTACAGTCCAAAACAAATCCATGAAACAAAGTGGTTATATTACTTCATGAGCTGCCCTTTGCACCATGCAACTTCAATGCAAATGTTCAACTCCTGTGTCAAAGTTGTTTGTGTGAAAGCGCGCCCATAAAAGTGACAGCTGCTTACCGGCCATAAACCACATCTTAACCCCTGCTCTACTCAAGGATTTCTCAAACCTCCATTTTAAAATGCAAAACAAAATATGACACAAAACTCAAGGCGGGGAACACTGTGCAGGATTAGTGCTACTGTATAGTTAGAAATGTGTGCATTTTGTCACAAGTACAGCCTTGGCAGTCATTTGGGGTTCAGAAACAGGGTCTGAGAGCAATAAAGCATGTTCAGGCTGTCAAAAGGCGGCCCTAAAAGAGGAGGTGCAAGCCACGGTTGTGCCCCTAAATTGCTTCCAAAGTATGTTGCCAAGATACAATTGGAATGTCTGCCTCATTGTGCCACTCAAAGTCACTTTCTGCAGGAGCGGGCCACAAATCTGAGCATGCATGAGCCACAGTGTAATTTCTGCACTTGTAATTCCAGTGAGTAGGTCACTATTAGACTAAGTGCTTGTTGGGACATATCTTACCTTGGATAATATCAAAGTGTGATCCACAAATAATGGATCAGATTACATTTTAGATATACATGTTAGAGCCTGCTACAGTTATGTTAGGGTAAGTATGTTGTCTTTTTGTTTGTTTTTTTTACTAAATTTCTGAAATGTGACGTATGAACTGATTCCTGAGGTTTCATAAAAGGAATGAATAAATAAATACATCTCAAATATCTTACATGAACCACACTTGAGTGAATTCTGACATTAAATGAACCTAGCCTTATTAGTAACCAACTAAAATTATGGTTAAAGGTGTGTGAAACATTGACATAAAGTCACATATTGGCACCTATTGTATAGAGACAATGGAGAAGACAGATTTGTTTTGGTCCATCTCTTCCACTGAAGAAACTACAACCATCCCAGTGGTAGTTGATGTTTAAACGAACATCATCTTAATAAGCCAACTGGGTAAAAATGTTCACATACGGTAAATGTTCATGCCTGTGTATTTCAAACATTTGGTCTGAGTGTTACTGTACCAAACTTAAAGTATCAATGTGGTCACATGTTTTGTGGTTTACCTTCACATGTTTCTTCATCTTTGTCCGTACGCTCTGACTGCAGGGATCCGCCATCATTGTTGCTGTCAAACTCCTCTTCTTCCTCATAGTCATCCTCAACTGCAATATGCAGTACACAAAGGATGATGTACAGAACACTTTACCTTAATGTAAATGAAAATGAATCAAAGTAATACTTACTTTTGTCTTTGAAATCATTGGGAAAACTGAAACCAAACAAACAACATAATGTGATATGTGTTTTGAACAGAGTTTTAAGTTTAAAATATTTCCATACCCCAGTTTTACATCCTGTAGCCTCTTAATGAACACTTCTCTTTTTTCTTTTGCCTTCTTGCTCAAATTCTCTCCTTTTAATCCATCACTCAGGAAAACTTCAAGATCTACAACACAAAACAAATACATAATAAAATATTAGATGAAGGTTAATTCATTTTTACTGCAAATTGTAGCCTAAAAATGGCACTACTTTCTGTTAATCATTGGCTTAAAGTCCAGTACATAGACAAGCAATGTAACACTTCCTCTTAAACGCAAACCCTGGTCTGAATGCGTTATTTTGACTGCAAGTCGTCTTCAAACTCCCCAGTTAACCTGTATTAGCATAGACTTAAATCCCTGGGCATTTACCTGATATAAGCGCCGTTATCTCTTCAGGAATTGCCCTCATAGTGGCCAAATCTGCTCCTTACTGTTTACGCGGCCGGTTCAGTGCGCACGGGCTCCAAAGAGGAAACTTAGCGTGACACGGAAGTAGGAAGTCATTCTGCTAATTATTTATCACTGACCACGCTCACTTTCAGCCACACATCGCTTTGTTGTGTTGTCGTTTATTAGTCTTTATGATATAAGCCCGTTCATAACAGGGCAGCGCGTGTTGACAGCGTCTTGATGTTTTAATGGAGCTAACGGGCCTAATAAATTCGAAGCATAATGCGGGGATCATATATTAAGATTGATTCCTGATAATATTTCCTTGGCATTTAAGTGTTGACTTTGACCGACTTAATGGACAAAGCTGAAGTGCTTACAATAACATTACTAGTTCCAGTTTATGGCGGCATAAATAAAGATCTGATCATAATTGTTTTGTGTGGAAAGTTATGGGCACATTTGGTAAACATAAGCTCCTAAATTAATTTTTATTTTAGCGTGTTGTGCTGCATAGGTAAAGGTTTCAGGAACAGCCGCGTTTTATAAATTTAAATAAATTTAAAAAAAAACAACAAAAAACTATAGAGAATCTTGAACACGCGTCTCTGCAATGGCACCTATTGCTTGCTATAGGCTACTGCAGTGCTGTTGGGCACTCTGAGCTTTCTCTTACACTCCTGAGTCCTCCCTCCTTAATTTGTGTGTCTTTATTATCAATCCTTGCCATTGCATTTTAAGGTTTATAGACTACTGGTGCCCTAACCGGAATATTCATAAAGAACTAAACTGTCCTTCAAAGCTTATTTTACATTCAAACGCGTTTAAATTTCACCTTCTATTATTAGATCTGGGTAGTGTTTGCATTCCTGTACCCCTGGTTGGGAAACACTGCTCACTAACACCATGGGGTAACTCCAAACACTCCTTGGTTAAAAAAATAAAATAAAATAGTGATCAGTTTCTAACATAACCTATATTTTCTGTTTTATTCACTGGTTCCATGCCAAGAAAACACATTAAATTATTAAAGGCATTCTTTACGCCCCTAGAACCTTTACATGATACATCACTTGGGAATGTACAGTGGTCTGGGGTAACCTAAACTCAAACAAATCTCTCTGTTGACATATTGTTGACAAAGGTGCCACTCTCATTAGTCTTCTGTGGACAGCCACCATCACCCTGCCTGGTCTAAAAGAGCAGGCCTTTGAACTATTGCCTATTGTTTTGCTGGGATGTGACAGGGATGACAGTTGTCCAGGAAAGCCTCCAGGGGCAGCAGTAAGCCTACAGGGCCTAGCTGCTGGTATTGTGTTATATTTGTCACTGTTATAAGAAAGCATATGCACTCCATTTCCCAATAACACTTAACACACCTGGGTCTGAGCGAGGCTACTATATAAACACACTATAAATGATATGTTGATAATAAAAGATTTAGCATTTATTGTAATAGGACCAATAATTCTTACTTTTTTTCAAATCACTAGCCGTAAAACTGGAGCATTTTTCATCCAAATTCTTTATGAGTCTCTCTGTGGTCATTCAAAACCTGACCCTCTTCTGACCCAGCACTAGTTCCTCCCCGTTTGGAGAGCAAGGGAGAGCCAGCTTGACCTCTGACCCCTGGGAGCCTGAGTGTGAGTGAGTGCCTCTCTGGCCCCCCTGGACGAACTGAACTGAGCTGTATCTGGTGTAATGTTACGCTTAATGGGATGATGTCTTTATTTCATATTTGTTTATTCATAACTTTTGATGACAATAGATAAAAGTACTCTTAAAAGTGCTTATAGTCCATCATTGACACTGCATAAATTACCGCAACGTTATGTTATGTTATTGTTATCATTTGTTTCATAATTTTAAACTTTAAACCATTTCATTTCTCTTCCAAACCAGTGCGACTGATATTACAGGAGCTTTTATAAGACTCCCGAAACGACGCAGTGCGCTGTGTTCAGTGATTAATGTAAAGACATAAGATCTGACTTTCCTTAGCCTAAATATTCGCTGTACTCTACGTAAAAAAATAAATAAATAAAAAATCAGCGCGCCTTTCTGCACCACCGACATTTTCTGCTCAAGGCTATCCTTCTGATTTTGTTGCGTTCATTCAGATAAAAACATCAGATATGGGTCTATAATGTGAAAGTTGTTACCATTAGAACTATTTTAGGTAAAAGGCTGTGGGCTTATTGAAATAAATACATCAAATATATTGCGCCGACTTGAACAATCTCATTTGAATATCCATATCTCCAAAAGCCACTGTGGCGCAGGGACATGTTAATTCCCAAAGATTGCATTACAACGCGCATCAGGCCATAAACAAGCAGCCTCTGTGCTGTGAGTTTTATAGGCAATAAAATTTAATTAGAGAGCAAAGAAAAGTCATACAGCTTTTGGCCTGACTTCTTAATGCAAGCTGCTCATAGTAGGATTTTGACTCAATATTACTCCCAAAAAACTAATACCGAGGATACAAAAGAGCCATAATAGACTATTTTATTATTTACTAAAATATTTATCAAGTTTTCTTTTGTCAAACAATATATACAAATATTTATATAAAATATAAAGTTTATCTTAATTACAAAATAATGTTAAATTGTAATAAAAAAGACACTAATGGTTTAATTAATACTTTTTATTTTCAGGAAAAATATATTGATAGAAAATAATAAAATACATAGAAAAATAAATTTAACAGTGCATAGTGGGCCTAAATTAGAATGTGTCATAGTTTTAACTTACCTCATTTGAGTTTTATAGGCTAATATTATTCCGTTTAAAAATGCATACAGTGAACAGAGAGTTTCAATAACTCAAGTTTTGCAGATCAATAGTTGTGAGAGTTTCTGAGAAAAGGTCAAATGTGTCGCTGGAAAAAGTCAGGGGACTTTGTAAAGAATCTGACAAACTTGGAGAGAAAGACGAGGACGGTGAGAAAACTGCGAAATCCTGCAAAGAGCTCTGAGCCGGGGAATGCGTATTGTTCGGGCCTATTGTGGATGAGCAAATCGGAGCAGCGGGCGCCGCGTTTGGAAAATGTTTCACATGTTTGTCATTACTGTTCTGCAGTGTAACAGCGGGGCAATGGCTCTCTCTGTTCTGAGCGCCCTGGTCCGGAGTGTTCAGTGGAGGCTGGGGAAAATACTGAACTGCGTCGCCGTCTTCGGTCAGGTCGAAGTCGTCCTCCTCGTCGTCCTCGCCCGCGTATTTTCCGTCGCTGTCGCGGTTCTCTTTGCTGTGCGTCTGTCTCTTGTGCTTCATGCGTCTGTTTTGGAACCAAACCTTCACCTGTTTCTCAGTTAAATCCAGTGAAGATGCTATTTCCACGCGCCTCGGTCTGCAGAGGTATTTGTTAAAGTGGAACTCCTTTTCCAGCTCGAGCAGCTGTGTGTTGGTGTATGCGGTCCTCAGTCTCCGTGATGCCGCGCCACTTCCAACTCCTGCATCCTCCGCCTCTGGTGAACCTGCGAAGTATACAACTCAACACTTAATAAACCTTTAGATCGAGACAAACAAACACACACAGAGGATGGTAAGAAACACGGTGGCTAGTGAGAAGCTTGTGGCAGCAAGTCACAGCCACTCACAAGATTTATGGCCTCACGGCAGAATATGATGGGTCTGCGTGGACAGGACAGGACGCAGGCTGAAGATTAATGAACATGCCAGCTGCTGGCCCGTGTACGACTAATCTATCAGTCTCCATTACTGTCAGCCATTAACACTTTTACACTTGGTGAGATTAAGACTTTATAAAATATAAAGGCCAATTTGAAAATATAAATAGGAATGATTCAATGTGCAGTGAGGGACGTCCACTTTCGCGGGCCCAGTGGAAGACAAAGAGCAGGCTTTATTTCGGAGGTTATTAATCATGTCTTGCCTTGGGGTGAGAAGTAGAGCGGTAACGACTCCGTGGAAGCCTGGATCCTCTTGATGCTTTTCTTCTCCTTCATCCACGGGTATTCCTTAGGTGGGCACGCAGCCTGACGCGCATCCACACAGCTTTTCCCGGTCTGTTTAGAACGGGTGCTTCCGTGGCCGACGTTGCGTGGATGATCCGCTGAGTTCAGGCTTGGAATGCTGTGCTCAAAAGGAGGAGGAATCAGGGCTGAGTGTGAAAGCGTCGAGCTCTTGATTGATGAATTTTGAAACGCATCACAGACAGGGTTGGTGAGAGATGTCAGGCACTCGGCAAGCGATGGCTGGCTGTTGATAAAACCACTCTCGCGCCCAAATTCGTAAGTCATCGCCTTCCTCGTGCCGTTTTAAAGGTTTAACAAAAACAGATACCAGATGGGTCATTCATAAACTGCTAATGTGGCTATAGTCGAATATGGAGAGTTCTGGGCCATTTACAGCCTGCACGAGGCCATGCTTGGAATTAGACTGGGCAGCTTGTCACATGATTACATCTGCCCAATGACAATTTGGGCTTTTATCAAAAGAAGCCACTGTCCCCTGTGATTGATCGAGAAACTCGGAGTGGTAACGCCTCATTCCGTGTGCAGGGGTGCACCTTATTTACACATCTTGGGTTGAGTCCATGTACACTGAGTCACTGTTAATACACATTTATTCCAAGACCACGAGACGTGCATAAGTTGGTTATGGAAATGCACTATTGTGGTCCAAATGTGGGTATCCGTGAATGATTATGGTCGCCATCTTTTTCAAGTAATTTCCGCAGCCAGTCCAGATCGTTTGCTAAAGAAATGTATTCCAACAAGCGTCAAACATTGTTTAAAATGATTAATTAATATCTTCTCCTATATATCTATTCTCCTCCACGTTATGCTTGGCATTTAATCTCTTCTGAATTCTCTTTTCAAACCAGGTGTATCAATAACTCTGTGCATAAGAATAACAAGGAGCATGCTGTGCGTATTAAGCAATCTAATATTGAATTAATACAAGAATTGTTTGAATAATGTATTTTAGTCAATCAAAGTTAAAAAAAAATCAAGATATACTGGAGTGGTAGTGTCTGTACAGCATCCTCATTGTCCTTAATACAGTGAGTGTATAAAATGATTTGCCACTAAAGTGTGAAGCCATGGGATAAGGTGCTGGAAGTGATGGCTGTTTATTGCCCCTGCTCTAAACAAAGAGCCGCGCTAGTCGCCTGTGCGCGTGATCAATCTTTCTCGCCCAAGGCTCTGACAGCTCCCTTCCCCAAGAACGCATCTGAAGCATCTACCTCTGCCTTGGATCATATATGACTTGAAGATGCAGCAGCCCAGTCTAGAGACCTTAATTTAGATATCGTAACAAATTAAGCGTAACAAAATTATGCTTTTACGCACGGATTATTCAAGAGTTGAAAAGATTATCGAAAGGAAACATTTGTTTGGTTTAAATGATTTTAACGAAATAGGCAAACAGAAAGAAGAGAAAACATGACTTGATTTAGTGGAAAGCCTTTCTTACATTGGATCAATTGTTTGCTGAGGTGAGTGGGTGTTGGCATTCAGCATGAAGCTATTCATCGCTACCTTCGCTCTCCTTTTCCCACACAACTGCAGAGGTCTTTGTCTGGATAAAATAACAAAATATAGCTTATTTAGTATTTAAATGTTGTTGTTATGTGTTTGTTTGTTTGTGTGTTTTGTTTAGGTTTCTTCGTTTTTTTGTACAGGCCTTTATTATATTAAACGTACCCAGCAACTTGAAGACGAAACTTGTTATTTTTTGCACGTAATCGAAACTCATAGAGCCATAGTTAGAAGTGAATGTGTTGATTAACTAAAAATATGGATTATAACTATTAAGGGCGGAATAATGCTGTAGTAGGTCGTATGTTCAAATGTGAGTGTATAATAATCATAATTGTGTACTTGTCTTTAATTTCAGTGGAAAATGAATCTTCTTTTAGACAGCTTGTAAATATAATTATGATATGTTCTTTTTATTTGCTATTTGTTCGTAACTGTCTGTGTTTATGAAGGCGAAACGGAGCAGTGGATGAGCAGGAGAACAGGAGAAGCGCGTTTCCCTTCTGTTGTGAGACCAGAGACATCTGGAAGGCACCACGGGCCAAAGCAGTGACGGTGCTCTACGTGTAATTTAATGCACAAGGCTGAACTTAACGGTGTCCAGGCATAGCCTACTTAAATCGAATAAATAAAATATAAATGATGTCAGAATGTTTTGTTTTAATTGTGTATTTTTACAAACGTTTTCCATTGTGTATGTCTGTTATTTAGGCTACAAATAAGTACAAATAAGTACAAAAAATAACAGTTTCGTTTATCTTAATGAGTTGTTTATCATGTATTTTACTTGTGTTAAAACATGGTTTATTTGCGCTTCAACGACAGAAAGTGGTGATAAAACGGCGCTATTTATATGGCAAAACGCGCCTATGCTCCACCCTTTGTGTGTGCACGTGTATTGGAGTAGAATTGCACATTACTGTTGTATTTATGGCCCTCCTGGATTCATGACAGGATCTGACATATACTACAGGAGCTGCAAATCAGCGCGTCGTGTAAGCTGACTTGTACGTAAATAATGCCTGAACACTCACCTGATTTGGCCCCTATGAATACGCCAATACCACGAATGATCAACAAACGAATGAGATTATAATTGGCTGCTGATCAAATTGTCTAAAGTGATGGTAATAATCTATCTTCATAGTTTAATTCCTCTTTGGTATCAAATAGTCCACATGTGCTCGTGACTTTCCTCCCTAAATTTCTGTTGTGACCCCTCGTGTCATGAGGTTTGATATATGGAGGGCACCAGAGGTCTTGACAAACAACTTCCCACCAACTCTGTTTTTCTGCAGACATTGTCCATAGAGCCAACTACCCACTAGTAGCTTTTCTGGGCAACAATTAAACACTCAGAGGTAGGATATTCTTTTCTGCCAAAGACTACAGCGCGATTTTGAAAAACAAAAGGCATATAGTTAATTGGGTGCACGTGGACTGTTCAAAAAGAACGGAAGGGACTTGGGCCTATGAGGAGAAAGCAGGAAGGTTTTAGAAGGTGATACGAAATCTCAGGTTCATCCCAGCGCAGACCCGACCATCCCACCTCTATTATACTATACTATACTATACTATACTATACTATACTATACTATACTATACTATACTATACTATACTATACTCTACTGTACTGTACTTTACTGTACTATACTATACTATACTATACTATACTATACTATACTATACTATTACTATTTTTACGCCCTGTTACATGTATATATCATGTGATGAATGTCTGAATTAAAAATGTATATAATACATGATTTTTCATTCTGTTCATTTCATGGGCTTCATAGTAAAACTGAGGCAGCCTCTTAAATGTAAGCCAGATCATTTTAGTATAAAACTGTCGATACGACTTTACCATTAAATTCTGATATTTTATTGCATTAACCTCAATAGTGGACTTGCGGTGCCTTGAAAGAGGGGATGGGTCTTTACTCATGACGCCAGTGAACGCACCACGCAGAAGAGCTACACGTGAACCACTGGTGCCCCCTGCTGGCAAACCTTAATCATCAGCAGAACATGGATGCTGAAGTAAGTAAGAGAATTTTAGCTACAGATAAGCTAGCACTCATATTAAGAACACAATTAAATTAGGTCTCCATTCAACCAAAATAAATAATATTACGCAATATATTATATGTAGAGCCTGTTTTTCTTGGTAAATTGTTGCTACTGGAAAGAGTGGCTCTGCTGTTTGACAAAACAGATAGATTTCAGCGCTCTCTAGACGGATGTAAAGTAATTAGACTTTTTGATTTTTTTTTTTTTTTTTTTGTTTAATAGACGCATTTGCTCTGCTCCTACACCCCCACATACCCCTGGGGCTCTGACTGTAGACCTAGTTGTATTCACTTGCCTACTATGTGTGAAGTCTGTGTGGCAGGTTACGCCATGGTTTGCTTTTCCTTTTTAAGTTGACAAACTCATATTCACGAAGGCTGTTAATTAGCCCTCTCTCTTCGCCAATGCCATGCTCCTATTGGTATAGATATGAGATATGTACACACATTTATGCTTCGCATCATGTAACTGTCTCCGTAGTGATTGTGGTTTACATTATGCCGAGGCCTATATGAGCCCAAAGCACTTGATCTGCACAAACACCACATTTCACTCCAAGAGTGCATTGATTAAGTGCAAACTCCACTGTAAATAGACCCGCATAAACACATTTTGTTGATAGAGTCGCAAGCATATTCTTACATTTCTTTAAGGTTTGATGCCATTTAGCATGGGGCACTCCCTGTAAAGAATATCTTACGCGCGTCTCTGTGGAATGAAATGTCAAGGCCTACAAATACATAAAAGCGCGCAATGAGTTCATAATAGTGAATTAGACTACATATTGCCATAGGTTACATTATGTATGCAATATATATCAAAAGTCTTACTGAACCTGAAAATAGGACCAATGGGATTTTATTGCCCATCCTGATTGTCAGTGCCATAAAATTAAATAGTTGCAACCTGGAAATTATACAGACACCTCTAACCGCCCCCTCTCCTTTGATAAAATGAAAAATGTAGTGTGTTTGTTTGGAAATGATTATTTTAAATATATTGTGCATATTGGCCCACTTTACGCACCCTTTACGCACGCTTTACGCACCAATTTTAGAAGCCATTTTCTCGAATATAGTTTAATAAATTATGTTTTCACTAATGCGTGTAATCACAGTTTACTGATTAAAATAAAAATGGTTCATTTTTTTCTGTCTAAACAATCTACTTTTATTTGTTCACGAGGTACCGAAGTGTGCACATTGAGTCTTAAAAATAACATTTGAGAAATATAGCAACAACAAGTAAACAATAAATTAACCGTTTCAATAGGTAGCTGGGTGACATTCAAGAGTTCAGGTAGTCTAGAGTCATGCAAACGACAAATGAGAAAAGATTTTGTGTGCATCACAAAAAAGACATTTACATTCAGACGAGACACTGCCTCACAAATACTGACACATAACAGACTATCCAGTGTGGCTTTTATAGCTTAAAATGTACAAGAATATCTAACATCGTCAGTATTTAAACCTCTTTACCATTTGTTCCTTTACAGCAGTCCTGCAGCATTAACTGTCTCTCCGCCGCTCTTTGTTGTCCTTCTTCATCTTCATCCTGCGGTTCTGAAACCAGATTTTCACCTGCCTTTCTGTCAAATTCAGCAGCCTGGCTACTTCATATCTACGGTCCCGGGGCAGGTACATGTTAAACAGAAACTCCTTTTCCAGTTCGAGAATTTGGTGTTTTGTGTAAGGACAACGCTTTTTCCTGGTGGGCTTTGCGTGGAGCCAGTTGGATGAAGGGTTATCTATAGAGACAAAGGCACGTCAAAACCACAAGTGAGACAGAGTTCTCCTAAAATGTTTACTTTGTATAAAAACTTGCTGGTTGTGTCAAATTAATCTACATGGGAGATATTATGTCATAAACGTGAATATGTGTTTAGTGTGCAGGCCCTGCTTGATAATCTAGTACCCTGAGAAAAAGTTGTAGCATGCGTAATTTCTAGTTAATTGCTGAAAATATAATGCAATTTCCAACCACTGAAACGTAGCATTTGTAATTTTGACGTTCAAGACAGAATGCATAAAATAGTTTATCTAAGCATAGCCTACTCTCGTGCCCCTGCTGCTGTGCCCCCTTCATATAATGTCCCACATATCTCTATCATTAACGCTTGATCTTACTTGGGTCCACGTCCTTCTTCTCATCTGCTGGTGGACTCTCACTTTCACACGACGGTATCTCCGTTAGCGTCGCTGCGTTCTCAATGTCAGACAACAGTGGCGCATGTGATTCCAGTGTTGTACACTCGCCACTCGCAATGAGGGGTTCAGGCTTGATCTCGTAATGCGCGGCAGTCGGTGGTAATCCCGTTAAACACAGGGACGAGGGCAGAGGCTCAAGAGTCCAGGATCGAGGGTACATTCCGTCGCTATCTATTGCCCCAGTGCCGCCACTTGTGCTGTACGCATGGTGAATATATGTGGGTGCACTCGGATTCCAGGTGCCGTTAAAAAGAGACGTTTGCTTTGTAACAGACAAGACTCTGATCCGCCATATTCTCCGCTCACCAGTGGCTGCTCCACCCCTGATGCGGTTGACGGATACCTTGGTGCCATATCTTCCTGTGCGTCCACATAAAATCCTGTTCCGAGAGCCGACATTTCCAAACCAAGAAAGCAAAAGTGTCTTCAGCAGCATTTAATTCCTAAGAAGGAATCACAGAGAATGCATGCTTTGCTGCGCCAGCTGCAGCTCAATGCGTCCAATAAGTTGAACCTTGCCCAACATCGGATAGGGCGCCCCAAACACGTGACCGTGGGACAGAACAATAAATAATAAATCAGCCTGCTGCTCAACTAAATGGCCACCATTTTCCCCACCGTATTTTAATAGCAAATCCCCGCGTATATTTACTGGAGAATGTTTCTTTTTATAAGCAATAAACATTATGATTTTCTGTCAGAAAATATCTTATGTTTACGTTAAATAAAATGTGATTTGTTTGTTCAACTATTAGACAAGCAGTAAAATATAAACCTAAAATTAGATAATTTATTTAGCCAACTAAATAAACGCCATTCGTTTTATATGCATATTCTAAATGGTTTTCTACTGCTTGTTAATGCTTGTATAATAAAGATTACGAGATGGAAATATGCGTTTCAGTCAGTTTTAAGTCCATCTGTGGGCAGGCCATAGTGCTTTGAAGACACGTCGAAAACGGAAAGTGGGCTGAAGTTATTCGGGTGCAATATAACCATGCGTTTTATCACGGGCAATTGGGTTGTTTTTCTTCGGGTTACAACCTGGCTGTCCAAAGCTAAATATCTGCAATAAAGCTAAACCATTGTTTCCTTTCTTTTGGCGCAAGACAGACACATCCGGCATTTCCTGCAGCGACGCAACTGGCAAGCTGCAATGATCATAACCGAGGCCTTGTCTGCGCTTTTGCCATGCATTCTAGTACTTGTGTCTCTGCACGCACACTCCCCAAATCGGCTAAGTAAGCCCTGAATTATTTGGATTAATCAAATACTAAAGGGTAAAAAAACAATACTCCACCAAGGATCTATCCCAAGCGTGAATTAGGCTGTTTTACGCACGGATTTTACGCACGGATCTGTGACACGTCTGAGGGCTATTTTATTATTTTATTGCCTAATTGACAGGGGACCATCTTTTGCATTGCGTCGAGTTTAACTGAGGCAATCAAGGCAGTTTCGTGTTGTGGGTGAAATTATTTAGCCCAACAACATGAGACTACCTAAACCACTCAACAGCCCGCTCTTCTTCTTTGGGACGCTTCTGTGGCCGAGGCACGCAATAAATGTATCCAGTTTTATGGACAGACCAATTAGGCATTTAAGAATTATCTGTCAAATCATGAAAGCAGAAAATGTAACCCACATGTGACCGCAACATGGGCCCTTTAAAACGTTTTCATTTTATTAAAATAAATATCAAGTATAAATAAAACAAACCCAAACAAACCAAATAAGTAAATTTATATATATAAATATATCAACATTAAAACAAAAGATAGTTTAATAATATAACTGAAATTAAGCCATGCGTTTCCACTTTTAACATCAGCGCTAATGCTGATAAGAACCATGCACTGTCACTCAACGAACAAATAGCATGTATAAATATTTTTCGAGAGGCTCAGGAAATGAAATAAACGTGCAATAGCAGTGATGATTTTTTTTTTATTTGTTTAACCATCAGAAATGTGCAAATGATCAGCAGACATCTCGTACTCTTCATTATGGGCTAAAAGCTGTCACATGAAGAAGACCAATGTGTACTTAAGTGTAACAGTTACTCGAAGTTCAACATGCAGTTTGTAGAATATACATATGTACAACATGTCTAAGCAGCTGTGGTCACATTCTTAAAAACACAACATTTACGCTATTTATAAATACACCACATATAGAAACGAAATGAACAGTTTCAAAAGAGCAACAATCAATAAGTTAGCATTAAGGTCCATATTCACATTTGGCGGGACGCACACACGTCTCACGAGAAGCTGAAGTTAGTGGACAGCTCTCGGATTCTGTTCTCGCGGCTCATTTTTTTCAGTTTCATTCTTCTGTTTTGGAACCAGATTTTGACTTGCCTGTCGGTGAGGTGTACGCTGCGGCTGATCTCCAAACGACGCTCTCTAGTCAAGTACATGTTGAAGAGGAACTCCTTCTCCAGCTCCAGGGTCTGGTGCTTGGTGTAGGGGCAACGTTTTTTACGGCCGCTCTTTGCTGTGAGCCAGTTCGCAGTGCTCTCCGTTTTATCGTCTCCTGTAGTTATAATAATAATAATTAAAAAATAATAATAATTTAAAAAAAAACATTTTTAGGTGAGAAGGAGAAGACAGCCCATTCATCTAGACAACACCAGATTTGCCTGTTCATAGCAATAACCATACACTGACACAAATATTGGAACAGGCCTATATTAACATTTACATTTCCTATACACTTAATATAACTAATGCACAATCCAAATGCAAACCATCTGTTCAATAAAACACACAGGAACATTAAATATGTACAATTAGCCACTGACCTCTAGCTAACCTTCAAATGGTTTCTCTCACTTCTACACAAACACTCGCCAAATTAACACACAGTTAATTTGGATTTAAGCATATTTGTCTTTCATATTGCAGACAGCTGCAGCCAACACTACATAGTCAGTATTAGACAAGCTAATGCGCGCTATGTCATCAGAGACACCCATCAACAAAAGACAAATAACATAAAGGCTATATTTTTAAGAAAAAATCCGATTACACAGTGAAAACACTAAACTTAAACGTAAATATACATTTCTAAAAGGTTTATGAAGTTTGAGATCATATTTAATTAGCTATTTATTTATAGATCATTGTTATTATTAATATTTTGACCAGGTATATTTATGTGTGCAATATGTGATGTATTGGATTGCTATACATTTAGCCCTGTAAAGGCACAAGGCCATAGACATGCATTCTTTTCTTTCTTTTTTTTTCATCTTTTCTAAATAACGTTTCAGATTAGTCATCGCATGCTTTTAGCTCAATTCTGTTCACCTTTGGAGGGTTTTTCTGGGCTCTCCGCGTTGCTCTCGTTGGGTTCCGGAGAGGATGAGACGTCTGATGACGGGCGGCTGTCTTCGTCTCTGTCCGGCACACAAGGCGCCTCCTCGTGGTTCCCTTCTCCCACGCGCTCTGTGGACGCAGCATGCTGCGGCTGGGATACGCTCTGCGCCTCCAAACGGGCAACTCTCTCAGGGCTGCAGTGGTTCAGTCCTGACTGGGTATCGTGGTATACTCTGGAGGACGTGTACGGTGTCTGGGACAAGCGGAAGTAGCCGGGCACTGGCACTGTACTGCCCCCTGAATAGGAAATGTCATCTACCGTCGCTGCTTTGGGACATTTATCAGGCTCATAAAGGCAGTACGCACTCTCTTCTTTAATGCTCGCTGAGAATGAGCACGGGGTCATATGCTGCACGCCGTGGGGCTGCTGCTGCTCCACTCGGCAAGAACGCGACTGTTCCAGCCACGTTTCCATCCCCTGAACATATGGCGCAGACGCGGGGATGTGAGAGCTCGGATCGCTGCGCTTAGCGATCCCCGGGAAACAGGAGCCAGACCCGGACAGTCCATACGAGTACTCCGTCGCTGGTGGTAGATACACGCCGTTACTTTGGTAATAGGTGCCAGACTCGCTTCTCGCGTTGATTAAGGAATCCACAAAAAAGGGGTTTGCAGCCTGATTGTTGGGGCATGTCATCGTCGTTGTGGGATAATTTGACGGCGGGTGAAGAAAACCCTTCCTGGCTGACATTTCTTGTGCAAAACATTGCTGAATAATTACTGATACTCACGCTTCTCACTGTAGCGTGCAGCCAATTAAAACACCAGGCGACTACTGGCTCCACCCACCCCCCTCTGTCATAGATTAGCCAATGTTTTAGGCTAAGTAAAAGAAGCCTAAACTGTGAGAGAGACATTGTGTAAAATGTTAAAACATCTCTTGGATTCAGGACGTCAGTGAGCCAACACTTCATTGTCCGTTTAAAAGAAGCCATCTTTGACAAGTCAGTTGTTGAAAGCTGTCCCCAGCAATTATGTCCAATGCATAGTTTTATGAGCACTTTTACGGCACTGTAAAACGTAGGTTCTTGAGGTGCCTCTGAGCAGTGCATGGGTGCATCAAACACTCTAAGCCTCATGAACATATTTAACTGTATGTTAATATATATATTCTTGCTAATATTTGCTCAATAATCGCCTCTAGCCTCCTTTTCCTTTACTACGTGGTATAAGCAGTATAAGCACAGCATTTTGAATTTGGCCCCTGCCTGGACAATTGCATACAAATGTATAAAATTATAATTACACACACGCAACCTCAGCAAAAGCTTTTCCAACAATAACAATGCATTAACGCTGTTTTTGCGGGGCTAGTCCGGTTGCTGTTGTTTTTGTGGTCTTTCACGAAAACACATTTATATTCATTTACCTAAAAATCTCTCAAATACGATGGTGAATTACATTGTCCAAATCAAGCCAAACAGGGCGAATTTAAGTTATATATAAAATTGTAATCTTAAGAAAAATGATTGGCGTTGCAATATATTGGTAGCGCCAAAATAAAAAATAAAATACTCTCACTTTGAGTTATGTCCATTTAAAATAAACCCGGAGCAAGTAAAAATGGAATGGAATTTTACTTACCGGATGACCATCAAAGAAACATCATATGTCATGCACACATAGCATTCAAATAAATGTATATAATTATAATAATTAAAATGCAATAGTGAGCCTACAACAAAATGACATGATGTTTCTTTGATGGTCATCCGGTAAGTAAAATATTTAATATACTATGTTATAGAGATTTAAATTTAGGACAATTCTATTTCATCCATTGCGCAACGTAAACGTCTATTTTCCTCGTGCTGCATTGTTTTTTGAAAAAAATGTTTGCACAGATAATATAAATCAACAAATGATGCGCACGATTCTTTAATTTGTAGTAATTAATTTAAAAAACATGTATTTGTATTGCCAGAAATATTGCTGGCACGCGCGTAAAGCCATGAAATAAAATACATTTTTGTGAGTAAAAGGTTTTGTATCGTTTGTAAGAGGCTTAACATAAATCTCGTGCACCATCAAAACATAGGGTATAGGCTAGTTTTCGAGCGAAAAGTCCAAGATGACGATAAAAGTTTGTGAGCCTCAAAGCAACACAGAAATACATATAGCCTATAATGTGGAATATAAGATGTTACAGGGCGCATGAGTCACAGGTCTATGGAAACGTCAAATTGTTGCCAAAATTATGTTACATTGCTCTGTTTACTCGATGTAGTTTTGTCACGAACTCATTTATGTTAAGCCATAAAACTATGGCATTTAATGTCTTAATGTGGAGTCAAGGGCATTATAAGAGTTTAGTGCTGTTTAAAGCCCCTGCGGATTCACCTACCTGGAAAAAGAAGAATTCTGGTTGTCCACAGACTTTGAGTAGGAACTTCTTTTATATTTCAATTCACGGTAATGACATTGATCTGTTCAGCGCCACCAAGTGGACACATCTTTACGGCCTTTGACGGAAAACCCAAAGCATATTCCGAGTGTATAGTGATATAGGCTAATACAGCAAATGACGAGAGAAAAGCTGGAGTACAAGTGAATCCTTCCCAGCCGTTGTTTTTCAGCCTCTTGGTCACAGTTAATAACCTTGGTCCCAGACGCTTTATTGCACTGCTCTCCAAATGCTCCAGACGACTTCGCGTTTTATGGCCAGGTTACTGGAGCAACTGGGAGGATGTGCTGCAATCAAAGCGGAATTCTTAGGGTCTTCACACTGGACAGGATGCTCAGGACAAGGGAGAAGAAAGCCCCATTTAAGTTCTGTTTTGGGAAGCTGATAGCAGCTAATGATACCACTATTGTACCCAGTGTTAACTGGACTTCCACTTGCAGCTTGACGCACGGAGCTTAAGTTCCAAGCAAATGGATTAAGCTACCCTTTCCACAACACAAGAAAATGTAAAATAAAATAAATGACGATGATCACCCATTGGGTTGTAACTCAATCAAATAATTACACCATATAATATTAAAACCGGACAAAGTCTTTGTTGTGGATATCAACTTATACAACTTCTGGCTCATGTTTCGACATGTGGGAATAAAAACCATCAGAGCTACACATATCATGTACTTGATACGTGACACGCGTGCTGCTGACACAACGAGCGAAAGCTTGTTTTACAATTTGTCCTTTCTCAAGTTATTTTAGACAGACAAATATCATTTAAGCCAAGATGTGTGATTTATATTCCGATCTTGCAGTTCTTTGGGGATCCATCGGATTACATCCATTCTTAAAACACAAGTTGAAGAAGAAAACACACCAGCAATTTTAAATAATCGGAAATTTTGTTTATATGATATTAACAATAGGAGGGGGAAAAAATCACACCAAATAACACAACAATAGTTTAGGCTACTTATTCGATAATAATAATAATAATAATAATAATAATAATAATAATAATAATAATAATAATAATAATAATGGGTAAAGGGCAATAATAATAATCATAATAATGATAATAGCCGTGATGTTATATCCAGGTAAACGTTTACGCGCTGTCAGCAGTGTCTCTGTCAGCTGAGTTCATAGCAGAGGGTTCGTGGTGTAGTACTGTAAACGGTCTCTGTTCAGCTTCTTCTCTTTCATCCTGCGATTCTGGAACCAAATCTTCACCTGGCGGTCTGTCAGGTTGAGCATTCGCGAAAGCTGCATGCGCTTTTCCTTGTTGATATAAACACTGAAGAAAAACTCTCTCTCCAGCTCCCTGATCTGATACTTGGAATAAGGACATCTCTTTTTGCGCGTCTTGTGGCCACCTAAACAACACATAAATAGTTAAACCAAAAATGTAAATATTTGTTCTATCATTGTGTATACAAATATATAAGCTGTCATGGTGCTTCAGTTGTGTCGCCTTTGGAGTTCAAGTCCTCCCTCCATCTGATCTGAGGCCCGCACATTTTGTAAACATAAACTGGATTTGGGGCATGTTACTTTAAAGCACTGAATATCGGAAGTTGTGAAACTGTATAAAAACTCATAAAAATGGGTTTTAGGGGGTGACCTGGACGCGGAAAAGACGGGAGTATTGTGTGTCTGGTTGTGCGTTGGGTTTCGTTCTGGCATAAGGAGTCGTTGTTCTAGTGTGAGAGAAAGTCCTTCACGGGAATTTGTTGTCGTATTAAATACCCGCCATTACATTTTGTAAATATTTGTCTTATGTAAGACTCGGGGTTTAAAGCAGAGCACAGAGTCAGAATAACAGCTGGCCTCAGTCAAAATAAGATATGAACAATTGAAAGTGTTTAATTAAATCGAATTAACTGACTCTGTTTTTAAATTTAATTTGATAATGCTTAATTGCCCCATTAATGGGCCCACGCAATGTGAAGTTTAAAAGCTAGTAAACTATAGTAAGAGAGAATAGCTGAAATCAAGTTGGAAACATTGGATATACACTTCACGGCCAATTTCATTCTCAAGCACGTGATCTTGTCGTTTATGGCAAAGTTTTTGTTGCAGGCAAAACGTGCAGGGCCTCCATAAACTATGGGCTTATAAAACAGCATATAAAAGCTTTAAGAGCAACGCGCAGAATTCTTTGCCTGTGGAGAATAATACTGACCGCTGCCTTTGCTCTGCTTGTCGTCGCTTTGACCGGACACAGACCGTGGACTGTCCGCTGATGTCTCGGAGCCAATGGCTGAAGCGGGGCTTGTGGCTTTTGCTCGCTGTTGGTCTCTGTCTACGTTTCCTTGCGCTGTAGCTGCTGCGCCTGGTGTATGGTGCGTTGTGCTTGTGTTTTCCTGCCCGTAAGCCGTCTCAAAGAATTGGTCGAAAGCTTGTGGCAAGACCCCATTTCTTCCCACACTCGCGTAAAATCCTGGCGTGGGGTTGGAGTTGACACCGGGGCTGTTTTTAACCAAGAGTTCTGTCCCCCGTGACACAGAACTTGTCCACCCGTCTCTATGCACCGTGTCCTCCGCGTAACAGTGAGACAGGCCGCCCCTGCTGTGGTGCCACTTGCTGGACGCGTCAATGCCATAGTCCCTGAACGCAACATCTCGCACAGAAGGAACCTGTGGCAATGGAGAGGACTGATACGAGTAGGGGACTGGACAAGACGACTGACCCTGGCTCAAGTAGTGAGGAATCCCCGAGAAGTCGTAGTAAGTGCAGCTGGGAAGATACATGTTTGAGCCTGAAACACGCTCGTCAAAATCCATGGTGCACCCTTTGCAAAGTCGGGATCATAATAATAATAATCCTCTCATAGCTCATACGCGTGGTGCTGCGCCTCAGTCACTTTGAGGCAGAGCGCTGAACCCAAGTCCTTAGACGTACAAGCTGACGTGGGAATCCATCTCTATCCAGTCCTGAGGGCCAAAGCCATGTGACCACTGGCACAAGTGACAGCGAGCATACGCCTCAGTGTGTACTCTACATGAGTCAATGAGTTTATAACGCAGAGCTCAAGCGGCTCAAGAAGGAAAAATGCCGAGGAGAACTTTTGGATGGAGTAGACTTTTTTCTTTCTTTTTTAACATTAAATATATACTCGTTTCACAATATTTAAAATGACCATATACGCAATGCCAAACAGCTCACAGAACACAGAAAGAGGAATTCTGCTCCTATATCTGTTTTCCGCATCTTTTATTTTTGGTTCAAGAGCATCATCCGAAAGTTAGCTGTGAAAGTAACAGGTGAAAAATATTTGATTTTTTTTTTCTTTTTTTAGCCTACATGTTTTTACGGTTCGAATAGAAAAGGGAAATATCAGATTTTTCTATGCAGTCTGGATTCTTTTTTGTAATCTCTATGCCTTTTAAAAGCTGCTCTGTCTAAAAATAGTCTGATCGAAGGCTTAAGCGCAGTAATGTGAGTCAAGCAGCAATTTTATCAGGCGTCACTCCTGCTCTCTGTGCAGGCTGACTGCCTCCATGCATTTATTTATATTTTTAAAAGGCTTAACATCGAGTGTATGTCGGTCACTTGTAAAATGTGCCTTAAGTAAAATGAACTTGTTGGTTGTGCGAGTGCTTAAAGGTGGAGTTAACAATAAGACGTGCGTAATGGCATAACTTTGCAGTAATGACACGCGCATATACAGTGTTAACAGGCAGCTGTAGTTTAAAGACTATATGGATAATAAATACTGCGGCTGTTGTTCAGTCAGAGAATGGCCCGGCCTTTGTCTCCTGCACCCGGTATAAACCTTTGGCACAGCCTTTTTTCCACAGCACACACTTTATTTCGATATAGCACGAGGAAACAAAGAGTATATTCAAATAGTAATTTATTTAAATAGTATGAAAAAATACACACCAAAATAGTCAAAAATAAACACAATGAAACACAAGAAATTCAACAACAATACTTTGTTTACAACTTCGCTTAGGCTATTGTTTTTGCGGTCAAAGTTGTGCGTTTAAGCTTTAAGCTTATTCAGGACTTGGGGAAAGAGTTATTTTTTTCCACCCCAGAATATTAAAACCGCACTTTCCGACGCTGGATTAATTGAAAAGCAGGAATAAATATATTATATTTTGTATGTGTCTTCAACAGCGTCAACCATGTGGAACAGGCCTTTTTGCTTGTTTGCTGTTTTCTTTTTGGATAGAATTTCTGAATAACGAAAACCTCACAACACAATAGTATATTTTTTCATGGGTTTCAGCTCCTGGCGATTCATTTTTTGCCAATTCAAAATATGCCTATATATATATATATATATATATATATATATATATATATATATATATATATATATATAAAATGCAATAGTAAGCCTACAACTAAATGACATATGATGTTTCTTTCTTCTATATGTGTGTGTATATATATATATATATAGACAAGCTACACCAAAGACATTTGGTAGCCTTTTTAATCAACAAAAGGTTCTGTCAAAGATTTGAGGCAAATAAAAATAAATAAATAATAATAATAACGTCGTTACCTTTAGCCTAATAAGCGCTTGGTTTTGGTTTATCTGATTTAAACTAGAAATTTCAAATAGCCAAAAGGAGACAAAATAGCACTTGAACGCTTAGAGTGCCAAGGTTAAGAAGCAGGAGGAAGCCTGGAAGGGGCAGGGCCTCCTTGCACCTTGGGGGGTCTCCGGAAGTGTATGGTTTCAGTATGAACTAAAACACCCGCACGTAAAGACTGGTCCATGACTGTGGGTGTAACGTGCAGTGCACAAGGGGGATAGTGGCTTTGGGCATGTGACCGAAATGTACGATTAGATAAAGTTATAGCTGCACACTGCTATGTCGTTATAAAATGAGTATCTTGTTACTTTCCTTGACAGTCCGTTCCTTCAACTGTATTTGTTTGAAGCAAATATCATGTAAAGTTATTTATAAGGTGTGTAAACCTATAGCACAATAATAATAATAATAATAATAATAATAATAATAATAATAATAGGTCTGAGTAATTTGGTAACAATACTTCAGGTCTATTATTAGACTAAACAGTCACAGCAAATTTCACCATGTCCTTACAGCGTGCCATTAGTCTGTACTAACACAACTTTCCCGCCAGATGGCGACATAGGCTTCTTTCAGGAACACTGTCGAGCGCAATGCTCTTGAGGCCCATGGCCTATAACAGCATTCTACAGTAGATGCTGTCCATGGGTATCACAAAGATGAAAATAGAATGAACAAAACAATGAACAATTTAAAACTAATTATTATAGAGTATATTTTGAGGAAAAAAAATTCCCAAAGTGTCACGTATAGGGCCTAGGCCTGTCAGGAGCTGAAATCCATTAATAAAACATAAACAAGCAACTCCGATAGAAAAGTTCAAATCAGAGGTAAAAAGATAAATGTTTACAGTGTCAGAACATTTATTGCAAACTGTTGATTTATTTTAGAATCAGACAAAAATTTTAGGCCAAGATATTTCATATTTACACGTTTTAACATTTGAACATATTATCAGTTTATAAACAAAATAGACAAAAAAGGAATATAGAATTATGTGCTTAAATGTGGTTGCTCTGTTGTTCAGGACAATATCTCAATTTAAGGAAAAGGGAATAGGTTGTAGCCAAACGTTTAGCCATTAACGACAATAATTTAAAAGTGTGCTTTATTGCTTGGCACATAGTAGTTTGATGTTAGCCTTACTTTTACGATATTTTATAATGTTTTATTTAGTGACATTTTTATAAAGAAAATTACCACAGAATGAATAATGAATTGTTGCTCTGATTTTGCTCGCGCGCTTGCCATGCAGGGCCTGTGAAAAGTTTCAAAACCGAAATATAATGTGCACAAAAAGCTAAAACCCTGCATGTGCGTGTTTTTAAGGGCTACTTCGGGATGTAAACCGCTCTGCTTTGGGGGGTCTCAGGCGTCCAAGCTTCACTCTAATAGTTTGCTCAGTCCTGTATAATGAGAACATGCATCCCTCGCAGAATGGCCTTTGGTCAAACTGTTGCAGCCCATTTCCGTCCCGTGTCAACAGGCCGCGGTGACTGGTTCCAATTAAAGCAGGAAGGAAACGCGTGGGTCAAACGGAGCCGCAGCGACGTTAAGTGTTCTTTCTGAATAAATTAGTCAAACAGTTTTTGATAAACCTGCATCCGTCCAGAGCTAACCAGAACTCTTGAACTTATTAACAACCTTCTTTTCCTTCACGCGCCTGTTTTGAAACCAGATTGTCACCTGCCGCTCTGTCAGGTTTGTCTGCGCAGATATCCTCCTCCGTTTATCTTTGGTGATGAATTTATTGGTGGCGTATTCCCTTTCAAGTTCTTTGAGCTGCACTTTGGTGTAGGGCACACGCTTCTTCCTCCCACGACGCATGGAACTGTCCCCTCCAGAGACACTGTCTGCGCACAAACACAACTATCAAATGCTTTTATTTAAACATTTTTATTCCAATAAAATAAACAGCATTATATGCAATAATGAACGTTGACTTAATTCAACTGAGAAAATAGCCAATTTAGACTGTGTGAACAAGTTGTTTTATAGCCTATAATTTTGACTACATAGGCTACTACAGATTGTGATGTAATCATTGGCCTATTTGACTTGATATGAATCTGGAATGACCTGCACACACGGGCTTACCTTGTAGGGAGGGCTTCCACAACGTGTTTGCTTGAGGTTGCTCCTTGGCGCTGTAAACTTGACCACTCCAACTGTTTGTGATGGCCCAAGGCTGGTACGTCTCCATTGGCAGCAGAGACTCATGTCTGGGCTCTGATGGCGCACTGAGCGCGGGCACTACTGGCACATCCAGGTAGCTGGGCTGGTAAGGAGTCGAGGAGTATCCCTGATAAAAGAACTCTTTTGCCCGAGTTGAGAAGTCATCTCCAGACAGCGGAGAGTCCACATACTTGTCCGTATATGCATTGGCCTGGGTCTTTACGCTACCATGGGACATTCGACACGGGTAATAACTGCTGCCAAAGTATCCATAAGGCAAAGAGGCGTTGGGAGAGCTCTGGGTGGCTGAGCAGGGACTGCACTGCTTCCCAGGCTCACCCATGCCAGACACTGGCACGTCGCTCGTGTAAGTGCTGGGAGCCAAAGAAGTTGGATGCGCTAACAAATTCCTGCATTGACTTGCAGTAAAGTTGCCTCCAGGGAAACTTTCCATATTTTTGCTTCTGTCATCCAGGGCGCTGTCGTAAAGGAACATCACCGGGTCAATCCAGTGTGAATGTAGCAGCACAGATGCGGTCATAGCATGCCCTACATCCAGACAAGCAACTCTTTTTCAAAATCTCCCGAATGAGCGCAGACAGAACTCGGACAGAGTGTCGATAGCAGCACGCCTGAGAGTGGAGAGATCGCAAGGTTATTGGCCCAAGCCAGACACGTGATATGCAAAAGAGATGATAAAGGTCTGGGAAGAAAATAGTAGGCTACTAGTTTATAGATCCTATGCAAACAAAATGCTCGCTGTTGTGCATGCTATCCCCTCCAAAATAATAGGAGAATATGATTAGGCTATCGTTGATGTTTTTTCTACATGTATATTATAACAAATGGCCCTTTTTGTCTTCAAAGTGACTAATTATATATTATTTTAACAAATATAGGCATATGTTACAATATTTAACACAAATAACTTAAAAGAAAAAAAAACTTTATAGACTAAATATAGAAATATATTTTGCTTATTATGGTTTCCATGAGGCCACAGGTGTTCATACACAATTAAACAGGAATTACCATGTCTCTGAATTTTGGAGGATTTTCTTTTTATTATTTGTACTATGCCAATTTATAAATAGGTTTTATCTTGCCTATAGGCCTACAACAAGCACATTTCTTTGGATTGAGTCCATATATGTGGAAAAACTATCCCCAATGCCCTAATAAGCCACACCGTGCGCTCCTTGGCACGGCCACGTCTGAAGGCCAAGGTCAAGTGTAGCTGCAGTCTGGACAGTGACTTTTCATGAAGCAGAAAGAGAAACAGCCCGAACACAAGAGATTTCGGAGCCTGGGCGAACACATCCACGCGGATGCTTAATATTTAGGCCTACTCGAATCATATATTTAATTATGTTATTTTTACACATGTCCTTATTGTGAATTTACATAATTAAAAAGATAACTTCAAAAACTTTCTTGGGAAAAAAAAGTATTTTTCCCAGACGATAAACAAAAATATTGCTTGTAGCGGCCTCGAGATTCTATTTTAAAGCCTGTTGTGAGTAATGCTCAGTCAGTGGAAACGGTCCAAACGCTCTAAATTTGAGCGTCTCTTTATTTTAATAGAGCTTTCTCACCTTTTGAGGCTGTAAATCTTTATGGCCCAAATTCATGGCTTGCAGTAAGAGTTGCTCACACAATGTCTGTATACAACTATCAGCCTACTGACATTTTCTCCAGAACCAAGCTTAAGTTTGACAATCGCCAACTTGTCGGGAGTGCTTCGTCTCCTTTTAATTATTCGATCTTTTATTCGAAGTTTTGGTTGTGAGTTGTGTCAATTCTCAACTTCGTTGTTAGGAGGTGAAGGCAATGAACGACGCTGCATCTTAGTTTGAATCGCTAAATTAACGTTTAAGAATAAATGTATTAATTAATTTTAAAAATACAATAAAGCAAAGATAATAATAATAAAATAAAAGTAGTCAAGAGTCATTTTAAATTTGCATGCTTTTTATTGATTACAGAAATACAGAGGCTATGCGTAATTGCGTACATTGCTAAATGTGCATACCAATCCAAAAGTCTCTCCAGTGTCCATAAGATTAAAGATGAACATTACGGAGCATCTTCTTAAATAGCTACATTTTACCAAAAGCGAAAAGCTGTAGAACTTGTTGGGACGGTCTGCCGACTATCTGCTGCGTCTCACGGCAGCTCGCCGGAGGCCGGACACCAAAGCGCTGCACTGTTTGCAGAAGCCATCAGGCAGATGACAACAGACTCTTAGCCTACAGTGCTTAATGGACTTTTTATGGCTTTGTCTTGTGATCGCATGACCCGTAGCACCTTGGCCCCTCAGTGGCTCTTGAGGAACTTGATCAGAAACATGCTGCTTCCTCCAAATCTGAGGCAGAGCAGAGACTAGACAGGACAAAAAAAAAAAAAAGGAAAAAAGAAGAGCCAATAGTTCTGGGATTAAATCTTATTTTACCAATTAAAATTAAACTGTAAGGCTGAAGATATATATATAAAAATATATATATATATATAATAATATATATATATATATATATATATATATATATATATATAATTAAATGAATGTGGATTGGAAGGTTAAGTCTGCAAAAGCTCTTTATTTATGTATTCATTTTCTATGAAGAATAAACACTTAATTTCATAGTAACATTCCTAGTGACATTGGAGTAAGTTAAAAGAGAAAAATCAAAATAACTTGATAAATATGTGGACACCACAATGACACAGACAGAACCCAGTTAATTGCAAAAAAGATTCTCAGCACACTTGTTTGCATTTTCTTGTGTTGTGGCTCTTCCCAAAATGCTTCAAATATCCAATATTTGCCCTGCACTTTCTACAAAGGAGTGTTGAATTTTAAAGGTCATTTCACCAAAAACATGACTTTCATGGAAGTGCTCACATGCTGAAAAAACAGCACCACTTCATTTTTTCATGTTAAAAGTTTGAAACTAAAGTCCTTGAGCCCAGCTACACTTGTCCTGGGCCTGGTTAGGCTTTGGATGGTGCAAAGTCCCCTTACTGCCCCTCTTCTTCACGCAGAAACTGAAACACGGAGGAAAAGTCTTTACTGGCATAGCCACGTGCACACATCATACGGTAGATCTGATGAGCCAGCGAGCCCAGAGGCACCGGAGTCCTCGTGTTTGTGGCCGTGTTCTGAGCCAGTCCCAGATCCTGAAGGAAAACAGGAAACAACAATATACATGTTATATTAAAACCAGTTTGCCAGAATAAAAGGTTACAAAATAAAACACATTATATTTTTTAAAAAGGAGCAAATTCTGTGGTGGAAAGTCCGCCACCTGCCTGTTTCTGTGGATGTTACTGCTTTAACTGGAATGTTCCACAGAATGACATTAAACTATCCCCATGGAGACTAGCAGGTGACACTACCAGGCAAAATTACAGGCAACATCTATGGTAAAAATGCAATTTTTCCAAGGTACCTTTGGGTATTAAAAATGAATGAATAGATGCATTTGCATAGGTGTAATGCCATAATGAGGAACATTTCAGGTAATTCCAGTTATCTCAGAGAGTTTCATAGGGCACTTTTTTTTTCCATATACATTGTGTACATTTGATTTCTGTTACTCCAAACCTTAGCCATGAGCTGGGTGCCAAAGCCGCCCTGATAGTTGTTTCCAGATGGGACGCCCTCCATAACTCCAGGCACAGGGTTGTATGTGTCACTCGACCAGCAACGGCCTGAACTCATGTTGAGGATCTTGGCCAAAAGTTTGGGATCAAGACCAAGTCTGGAAGTAAAAACAGTGCACCATAATTTATAATTTCCCAAAATCAAACATGAAATAAATATAATCTCTGTACCTGATTCCAAGATTCATAGTTTCTGATGTACCAATCATTCCAATGGCCAAAAGCATATTGTTACATATTTTTGCTGCCTATAGAGAAAATGCATTGAAGCTGTGTTAATAAGCAAGCGTATAGTCCATTCTCTTCATGTGTTGAGGTCTACTATGTGGTCATACCTGTCCAGTCCCAACCTGACCACAGTATACCACATTAGCTCCCATGCAGCTGAGTAACTCCTTGGCAGCAGTAAATTCTTCTTCAGCTCCTCCTACCATAAAAGTCAACTTCCCCGAACTGGCAGCTCCCACACCTGGAAATGTATGTTAATTACAATCCCACACAGGAGGCAAGAAACTGGAATGAGTAAAGCTTAAATGTGGAATCTTTGCTTTTCTAAAATTGTTCTGCATTAAGTTGACAGTTTACAAATGTCCAAAGAAAGGTAATACAATACTTGAACAGATTAGACAAAAAATTGAAAAGGTCTACCACAGTGGGAATAAAAACTGTGCAATAAACAAAAAATCCTAAATCTTAGCTACAGTGAATTCAGAGACTGCTTCTACAATGATTAAAAAAATCTGAATAATAAAGTGTGGAGTTCAAAACATAATGAGACTTACTTGAACTAATTATAACAACATTATAATTTCAGTTTACTTTTCAACCAGACTAGTGATATGCATGAATGTATTTCTTGGAATCTTGTGATTAAGTACCACATTTGTTGGTGATTAAGAAGGAATGGGTCTCAGGCATGGGCAGGGGAATTATTCAGAGCGCTGTACTCTAGAGCTCATCTGGGATTCATGGAACCATAGTTACGTTCGTAACTTTTGTTTGCTAACACTAACACTTCTAGAAATTAAAATGCAGTACATGGAATTTTAAAGAAATCAAAGCAGAGTTTAAATTTTACCTTATATTTCAATGCTGGTCTTGACTCTTAACAACCTGGACAAGATTTCTGACAATCCCACCTACCCCAATCCACTTTAATTCATAATCTAATATTGGGTACTTTTGTCAAGACATAAGCATTACTCCATTAATTAAGGGTGTCTGAATACAATTCTAAAATTATTTTGAAGCAAATGAAGAGTTTGTTGTAAAACATGTAATTTTCCTGCACAAATCTTTAGGAGTACTTCTCACTAATGATAAATAATGTCCCCATTTGAATCTAACACTTCTACAGAGTTGGAGTTAACCTATGTTGCAAACATGCTAAATGTCAAATCCTGTGTCAGTGGTTCTCAATGGAGCCCCAGCTCTCTACTCCTTCCCACCGCCCCTGCTCTCTAGCTCTATTGTGCACTGTCCGTGAGTTGCAGCCTCACACTATGGACTGTGGACAGATGCTGCAGACAAAAGAACTGAAATGTGGAGAGAAATGATAGAAATGAGTCACAACATATCTACAAATTTATTATTTTTTAATTATTAATTCATCAGATATTTGAGCTTGTAATTCTGTGAATAAGGGGCGAACTGATCCAAAATAAAGACTGCAAAACATGCTATAAATTGCAGAACATTTATTTGAATCCTAATAAATTTCTTCAGTTTTGCTCTGTATACTGTTTATGAAAAGGCACATTTCATGTGCCTTGAGCACATCACACTGGGGCAGTGGCCGGCACCCCTCCCATCATGGTGTGTCCTCAGAATTTGTCTATACTCCCTATGTTACCAGGTCTGAGATTTTTGTGGTCAACTTTTGTTGTCTACCCTACAGCCAGTCAGAGTGTTTTGTTGAAAGAGCAATGAGCTGACATGTAATTGCACAGTCCAATTTAGAATCAACATAAAGGAAAAAATGTTGTGTCACACTTTCTATTTTATGAAAAAACAACAACAACCAGACCAACCTCTGGTCTGTCGTTTGTCACCCCTTGTGTGTTGAGCTTGTATGAGTTTAGTGCACCTATTTATTTTGCAAGGACAAAGACATGTTCTCAAAACTCTAGCCTATAATTGAATAATGAAGTAATCAACACTGTCCTTACACCTTCTTCCATGCCACTGTTCATACCAAATGTTTCAATGTTTGACTAGTAAGTTCTGCTTTTGGGTTTAAACAGTGAACTACAAATGTACAGCATTCTATTAAATTGTGACAAGCCAAGAGTAAAAAGTAACTTGCAGTCATGTTGGCAAAGCAAATAGCAATAATTAATCTGCATTGTTTAAACACGTGGGCAAGTTCAAGGTGAAGTGCCATGCATTGCTCTACAATGGTAAAATATTTAAAACAAGCCATTAACACTTAAAATTGATTTGAGAGCATTCATTAGTGAGCAGCAATAGACAATAAAGAGTGACAGCCATTTTGTTTTGTCTGTTTCAATTATTTGAATTAGTATTTTGGTTTTAAGTCATATGTCCTTCATAACAGAAAGACATGACTTAACCCACTTCTTGTACCCATGATACAAGTATGCATTTACCTTTTCACTGCAGTGTAAATAAAACCAAAAAATTACCTCCAGACACTGGTGCATCCATGAAGACAGCCCCCATCTTCTCTGCTGCTGCTGCCATTTCTTTTGAAACTGCTGGGTCAATGGTGCTGGAGTCTATAAGCAATGAACCCTTCTTCACTTTTCTGTAAAATATTAGACAGGTTATCACCCACATTAAATATTTCAGTATTAGAAATAGAACAGTTAATAAAAAGAAGGGCTAAACAATTCTTAATGAAGCAATTTTAATTGTTGCAATTATGAAGTCAAAAAGGCTACAACTTTTAAACAATGTCTTTACAAGCAACAAAATATGCTGTCATTTTATGGACAAAGTATGAGAGTCTTGTATTATTTTAACTGTTATGGCCCTAGATGTTAATGTGCACAATTCTAATCATAATTGTAATACTTTTTCATAAAGTTTTTCTACAAAATTGTGCATCCCTAGTGCTTTATGCCAATAGGAGACATGTACTTAAGAATGCCATTGGGTCCAGTGTACACATCTATGACGTTTGGACTAGAGGGGAGCATTGTGATAATACGGTCAGCCTTGTCAGCTACTTCTGCAGGATTATCCACAATCTAAGAAACAAATCAGATTAAATAGTGGTAAATTATTGTGTAATAAATGTATGTGTTACAATTAAATATAAATACACACAGATGACTAACATACCTGTGCACCCAGCTCTTGTACTTCTTTGCAAGACTCTGGAAATACATCTGTAGCAATAACTGGATATCCATGTTTCAGCAGATTCTTTGCCATGGGATTTCCCATGTTTCCCAGACCAACAAAGCCCACTTGTGTCTTGGAGGCCATAGACCTGGTAGATGCTAAACAAAGTACAAATGATTAACTGGATACAAACAACATATAACAGACCATAATGAACATAACACAAAATTAGTTTCCACTTAGGGGAGAATGATTTTGTTGTTCGTTAGTAATACACAAATAAGTGGTGCAATTGCATGTCTCAGTTATCAGTAATTTCAAATGACACCAAGGAAGCATTAGACCAGTAGTTAGACTTTTGCAAGTAACACATTGTTCTATTGGAAAGGTAGACAAATTTGCACAGTGATCGGCAGGACCAATGAAACCATTGAAAGCGATCACCCAAAACTTCTCCTCAAGCAGTAGCCTACCAGCAATAGCAAACCTATTTTTTTACTACCACAGACGACCTTAAATCACGCAACCTTAACACAAGCTGCATCGTAACTTCTGCTACTTTCATGATAAGTAATTCGTTTAGCCCCTTACCAAATGCAAACGTAACATTTTTGGAGCAGCCTCCAACCAAATACCGTGAGCCTCTCAACACAGCGGCCATGCTTCTTTTCTCTTGACCTTATACACGACGCAGGGCTACGTGCGTAAGTGACAGGCATTTCATCCAATCACGTGTCCAGACTCACCGCGATCTGCCTTCTGCCGCAGCAAATAAGACAGGGGGGTGGTGCCGTTCCGGTTTGGTGAAAATTAATACAAATCGAAAACTAAAATAGATTTAGGATGACAGCTGGTATACTGTGTATTTTTCACAAGTAACAGTTGCCCTGTGTGTGATAGGATATATGGCTTGGTAGGGTACTCCAAGTTCACGCACCATCTAAACTGGGTTACCCGGGACAGTCCCTGTGTCCCCTGTCCCAGCAGATTTATCCAAAACCAGTAATCTGTCCCAATTTTATACAAGAAATGTCCCAGGTGTCCGTATTTTTCACCAGTAAAGAGAGGCATACATTGTCATTTGTTAGTATAAAATACAGAAAAGTTGTTTAAAAATAACCAAAACACAGTGGCGAGTGCATAACAATTTTCCTTAATTGCATACTCGTTTCACAATTTTATTATTAACCCAAACCGGGAATGTTCCATTTTTTATTTTTATTTTGAAAGTCTGGTCACCCTAATCTAAACAGAATATAAAGTCGATTAAAAAAATCATAATTATAAAGCAGAAATATATGCTATTCAGATTATCCAAACATCCAAGTAACTTACATAAAACTGAATGTGGTATAGATCTGGTTCAGGTAGGCTACATTTGCTCCAGATTTGAGCCGCTTTTAAAGGGATGGCCAGACTTAAGTATTACATAGTTTTTGATGTGGGGACGTGGAAACGTTTTATAAACCGCAAAATGATGTGAGCAGAATAAAAAAAAAACTCTTGAAAAACCGAGTGGGATTCCCAAAAGCACCCTTCAGGAAGTGACGTATTGTTGTTATTATTACAGGAAGAGGGGAAGGGAAAGCACTGAACTGCGTCAACAACTGTTTTATTACACATTTGGATTGTGACTGCACCTTAACATGGCATCTTGGTATGGTTGAACTTTATTTATATTAATGTCTTACTTAACACGCCAGTTTAAGACAATTTGCTGTTCTGACATATGTTTTGAGCGACACAAAGCTTAGCCTAGCCTAACTACGGTGGCTAACCTTGTCATTAGATTAAATTAGCTCTTGCACTTCGGTACTCTTTTACCTTATTAAAACAACATATGGATCACAATGTCATTATTATGTTATCTGTATAATTGTGATCTTTAATTTGACTACACAGGCACCTCTTTGGTTATATTGTATATTACTGTGTTGTAAAGAACGTGGACATTGTTAGCTGCTGGGCTAACTTAGCCACAACACTTAATCACTTTAGGCCTCGCGTCGTTGTTGGAGTTTCTAAACAATAGCATCAGCCACATAACTTTTTCTGAAGGCGAAAGCTGTATTTACAGATCACACCCAGTTCAAATAAGTCCTTACATCGTGCTGAAAATATTTTGCTATTATCCTTTTACTGTGAAGTGTGAATGTGAATTGTATTTGTTCAACATCTAAAGAAACAAACTTGAACTGAGAAAGAAATTGTTGTTCGTCTAATTTGTGACACGTCTCCTTTTGTAGCGGCTGCTGAGTGATTCATGGCCCTGTTCTCAGACAGACCTTTGATTGGAAACAACATGGACACCTCAAATTTCGCCCATGTGATCTTCCAAAATGTGGGCAAGAGTTATCTGCCCCACGCAGCACTGGAGTGCCACTATACCCTCACCCAGTTTATCAAGCCACACCCCAAGGACTGGGTTGGCATCTTCAAGGTAATTATGGCATTTAAACACTTACAAGCTTAAATGCTTTGTTCTAATATTCAGTTGTTAAATGCTAATGCAGTGTGCTGTAATGTGTATTGTACGTGGTGATTAGGACGGACAGATATCACATTGAATCACATAAGAATTGCATTGGGAATTAATACATATTCAGTCTATTATGTATAAATCTGCTGACCCTGTTTGACCTCAGAAAAGCGTGCTATTCTAGTTGGTTTAGCAGTTCATAGTTCAATGTTGTCTCAAATTATATAACTCCTTAGCGTTTGTCAAATATTCTTTTTGTTCAAAATCCCAATCCCAATAATAAACCAAATAATAAAACATGAATGGTATCGAAGTACAATGTTTGACAATAAAACAGTTTATTAGATATATCAGAATTTAGAGCCTGTGTTGAGGTTTGCCAAGGGATCTGAGATAGACATGCCATAATAGCTAAGTTTAGATGCACTACAAGACCATCATTACCTGATTTGTTGAGGTATCATATTATTAACATGACATTTTAATATGACATGTACAGTAGTAATCAGATTTTTTTTCTTTTTATTATTCACTACTGTGCATTTGATAACAAGGAAAATACACCAATATGGCAAACTGATGATGCAAAGAGAAATATTACAGACAATACAAAAAGCATAATTAAAAAATAAATATACTTTGACTTCTAAAACACTCAGATTCTCTTAAAATGTATTCATAAACCATAAACTTCAACTGTCATTTGGAATCAGATTTTGCTAGAATAAAGATAATTGGATAGAAATATAAATCATGAAGTTTTAGTGCATGTTTCCTTGATTGCGTAAAAGAAAAACCTCAAACAGTGGCATAGACTGTGCACACAGTGTGAAGGTCATATCAGGCAGCTGAAAGTGGGCCTGCTCATGTCTCGAGGTTGTTGGCACTTCGGATCCAGCACATTGTTGTGGATGAACAGCATAGCGCTCTGTTTATAGCCTAGAGGGAGGCATGAAGTGGCACCTCACAGCTTCATATTCCCTCTGTATTCAGTGTCTTAAGTGTATCATAAATTATGCAAACACTCCTAACAGCGCTGAGAGATGAATGGTTTACTGGTGCCAAGGCCTGTGTTGTAACGATGAACAAATGTAGGTAAACTAGGAGAGGTCGATAGGGCTAAAGTTAATCTAATTAATCTTTTTAAATAACGATATAGACACAGTCCATATAGTGCACTGATCTTTGCGGGGAAAGTATAATTATAACAGTTATACATTTTTTTAAATGTTTTTTGTTTTAATAGTTATAACAGACCAATAGTGTGCAGCTAAAATTATTGCTAATATGCAAATTTTTGGATGTAATACAGTGAGCACTGGGTTTACTCAAAAATGGAAATCAGAAGGTTCTACATTAGTGAGTTCTTTAGATATTTTATGGCAACATTAGGGAAAAAGTGTCTCTTGTCCCCATCTGAGAGTATGACGAAAACCTCCAATTACAGTGCATCTAAAATAAAATGAACTTTTGGCTCTTACTTTAAATGAACCTTTTTATAATTCATTTTGCTTTTTGCATCTGATTCTAATTTCAGGAGCAATGTTTTTGTAAATTCTTACATTCTTGACATAATTGTTTGCTTGAAGCAGATCAGTTACTTTCAAAACATTGTCATAGTCCTTGCTTATCCAGGTTAGAGGTGATAAAAATTAATATATCGATATTTTTTAAGTATCCTGGTTACGATAAACAAAAGATATTTTGACAGTCCGACAGAAATTTGCTGAAACGTGTCTTGTATTAGTTGTGATTCACGTATCAGACAGATGTAAAGGATTTTTAATTAACCACAAAAGAGCATAATGTTGTTGTTTGAAAGGTTACATTTTTTTTGCTTTTTTATTTTCAAGCTGCTCTTTTTTCTGTATTTTGAGATGTTTTTTTTAAAACATCGATACACCAATATTCAAATTTCACATAGCTTCAAAACAACATTCACGATAATATGGATAATTTGATATATTGCCCACCACGCTCTGTTTTGGCCAGGAAGTGCATTAGAAGAGCTTGTCGTGATCTGTCAGTTCTTAATGCCACTCCTCCGAACACATGGGTTTCCAGAGGTTTTAACTATGTGAAAGAGCTCCTCTCCTCTTCCTCTGCTCCACATCCCCTCAGCGCCTTTAACGAGTGGACTGGTGAAGGCTAGCTCTCACTAATGACACTTACTAACTAGGTGCATGTTTTAATTGCTTCCTGTGGCTAACAGCTTTGGGCTGGAACCTCATAGGGGGCAGTTGGTTGTCTCTTTATTCCCAACACTCCCAATTTAGTGTGGAAAAGTTTTACTGAACATAAAAATAATAACGTGTGGTGGATTTCTGCACTAAATTGCTTAATAGGCTTATCACAGTGAAGCATTCTGTCTGATATGTTACTACATGAAATATTACAAAAATACTGGAACCACATAATGCCAATGGCACAATAACATTAAAGCAAAATAATCCCAGTAGACACTTTTCTAACTGAACCATATCGTACATAAAATATGACATGTGAGCTACTATAAAACAGCACAATCAAACATTTACACTATTAAATGTTTATCAAGAATTCAGTCTTTTGAATTTTGGACTATCAGTGCAAATGAAATGTCTATAAGTTAAAAATTGATCTTAAAAATATATAAGGTTGGCCAAAAAATCTTCACTTATCTGGGTGATGAAGTGAATCTGTAACATATTATGATCACTACACATTTTTTAAAACATTGAGAAAGACTTCATACTGAACAAATTGTTTCTTAAGAGTGAATCCGGCTTAGCTACTTAAATATTTCCTAACCGTAAATATTAAGTCTGAAACAGTTTTAATGCAGTATTTGTTTAGTATGAATGAAGTATTTTTTTCATATTTAATTCAAGTGTAGCTGTTATAAAGTTAATATATCCATACCCGATACTTAGATAGAAACATGTTAGTTATGGTGACAGGGTTACACACGGTCTATTGTGAGAGCGATTGCTTGTGGAGCTGCTGGATTGACAGGGCGTGTTGTGGATACTTGTGTTTGCCTGTGCGCACTGAACACCAGCCAGTTCCACTTGACTTTGATTTAGTTTGACAGTTTTATGGCACCAGGCCCAAGTTATGGATGTATTTTCTGTACTCCCCCTCCATCACCCATCAGTTAACAACACATAAAATACATATAATTACATTTCGGTTTTCATTTTCAAGTTGCCTATGTATAAAATTTTCACCTATTTTGCTCTTCCTGTAAAACTTGAGTTGTAGCTCGGTTTTCTCAATGAGACATGTTGAAGAACCACATGAGCAAAAGGTCATAAATTGTATACGAAAATCCCATTGGTATTTTTGTTTGCATTTAGGAAGATGTTTAAGTTAAAAGGGATTATTGATCAATGTGTAATAAATGAGATCTGGTTATTAAATGTTTTACCTAGTAAAAAAAATAAATAAATAAATAAACAAATAAAACCAAAATAATTAAATCGATAGTAACATAATGACATACTTAAAAACAATTAAATCAATTAATAATTATAAACAATACATAATAAATAAATACATAAATAAGAGAATGTACTTGGACGTAATGTTAATTGTAATTAAACCTGAATAAGTAAGTAAAAATATAGCAGAAAATGGAAAACCAATAAACAAGCTGCACTGTTTATTATTAATTGTAGAGAGTAGTAGCCCTCTATCTATTAATCTATGTACTGTATTATATAAAAATAATTGCCTCTGTGGTCTCAGTTTAAAAAAGTAGATAAGTAAACTATAAGCAAGTAAATATAAACTACTGACTGCTTTCACTCACTTGTGCCATATGAAATAAATATTTGTCACAGATAATATTGTTAAACTAAAGCCTTGTTAATCTTTATTCTTTATTTTTTATGTATATGTGGTGAGAGTGTCTGAATCCGTGCCTCTGTCTCGCAGGTCGGCTGGAGCACCGCGAGGGACTATTACACATTCTTGTGGTCGCCTCTGCCGGAGAACTATGTGGAAGGCACCGCAGTTAACAGAACCGTGGTCTTTCAGGGTAAGATCATACCATAGTTTTATTTAACTTTGACACCTTTTAATAACCACATGTCAGAGGATCACTCGGAGGCTTGTTAAACATTTTATACTGCATCAGGGGGAAAAAATCAAATGAAAATCTTCCCCATTTTATTTTATGTTGGTGTTTATGACATTTTGAGCTGGGTTTTTATTTCCTCTCATATACTGAAAAGTGGCTCAAGAGCATAAATTAATAAATCAGGGAATGTAGGTGGAAATTACAATTTAGTTACACTCTGGTTCAAAAATCAGTTTTCTTGAGCTAATGAGTAACAATTTATGTTGTTGGTTTGCAGTTTCTGTGCTTTTTATGTGCCCTCGTGATGTGATTAATTTAAAAGGTCAGAATAATTTGTGTTGTATATTTCCTTTTATATTATAGCCTGCTTTGTTTTCTTGCAGGATATTATGTGCCCAACGACGATGGAGAGTTTTACCAGTTCTGTTACGTGACGCACAAAGGCGAGATCCGGGGGGCCAGCACACCGTTCCAGTTCCGCGCCAACAGCCCCACAGAAGAAGAGCTGCTCACCGTGGAGGATGAATGCAACTCCGACATCCTGGTCGTCACCACTAAAGCTGGATTCTTGGAGGTATACACTCAGTTATATTCAATAAATAGTATGTATTCAGCTTGTGAGATGGTAGGTTTTGTTTATGGGCAAAAACACATTCAGTCCGACGAGCCACTTGAATAGCTTGAAAAAGTAATTACTCGTTGAATTTCACACAGAATCTTCCTCTTTTACTTCTTATACTCCTCTTTACGTCTTATACTAAGATATTACTGATTTCTGTCCAAACATAAAATCAATTTGACCTAACTTTATACCTCAACACCAAAAGAATAAGTTTTATAATAAAAAAAAAAAACATAATTAAGAAAAAGACAACCCACAGTGGTCAGTGCACAAATAAGTTAATGTCAAGCATTGATTATTTTGGATAAATATAAATAATCATATCTTTATTTGCACTTAAAAAAAAAATCGTATCATAAGGTTTATGAAATGTGTATTCATATTACAACTTTTTTTCCGTACAGCAAAAGATGGAGGAGGTGCAGAGGGAGAAGGACGAGCTGGTCAAAAACATGACAGTACTGCAGAAACAGAAGGAGCAGCTGGAGGCGGAGAAAGAGGCTCTACTCAAAGAGTGTGAACACGAGAAGGAGAGCTATGCACAGCTCAAGAGAGAGAACCAGGTGAGAACAGGGATCAGCGCTCATATTAAATTATTTCATCTGTTTTTAGTGCAAAATGTACATATATGAAAACAGTCTCTCAGCCCCCCCTAGTGGCAGGATGAAGTTTACATACACACTTTATTCAAACTTTCTTCAGACTAAACCAGGATCAGGCCCAAAACGTGGTCTACAACAGGACCAAACCAAGTCTACTCAGGACTAAACCAGGATCCTAAGAGACCCATAAAATTCCGTGTTAGTAGCTCTTTTGACTATGTTATACAGAAAACAAATTACACCAATTTGTTTTTGTGGTCCATAATAAACATTTTGATAATTCAGGAGGACTTCATTTATTGTAGTTACTAGTTTATTTAAAGTGGACAATGTACATAAACAAACATTTCTGTAAATGCACCAGTATTGGCCTAAATGGCTATTTTTCATGTGGTGTCCCTGGACAAATTTTAAAGAGTCATGCTGACAACCAAGGGCAATATTAGAATAGATATACATGAATATACAATATATTTTGTAAAAAAACATTTTTTATTTTATATAATTCTGTTAACTGAAGGCAAACTAAAACAATATTGACTTAAGTGTGAATAATTTTTTTTTTTGTGTGTACAACTAAAAATAATATTTTTTGTGCATTGTCATGTTTATTTTATCCTCAAGGACATCCAAAATTCCGCACAGGCCTTGCAAGAAGAGAAAGAGGAAGTGAAGAGAAGACTTGAGGAGGCCACGTCCAGAGTTATTCAGCTGGAAGAAGATTTGATTGGAGTCACGCAAAAGGGCTTGCAAAAAGAAACTGAACTGGACAGGTAAGTTGAAATGAGAAGTCAAATTGCCCCATATATTATTGTATAGCCATTGTGATATTCATTAATGTTTAATATGTTTTAGTCTCAGAGACAGAGTGAAGAAACTTACAACAGAGAAGGATGGACTGGAATCACATCTTAAGAATGAACGGGACGAAAAGGAGCTTTACAAGGTACACTTCATTTAATTATATGCCATAATAAGTAACAATATAATATGTCTTATTTGCTTCTTTGATGTACAGTTTTTACAGTTTTGCATTAGGGCTCCATACCTGACTATGTGTTTGTGTAAAATAGATTCACCTAAAAAATCGGGAGCTGGAGAACACTAAAATGAGTGCAGAGCTGCAGATGCTGAAGTCTGTGGATGTAAACAAGGAAAACACCATTGCCCAGTTCAAAGAGGAAGTGGGACGACTTCAGGCCTGCCTCGCTGACAAAGAGAAGCAGTACAGAGAAATTCTGGCCAAAGTCCCACCGCTGGTATGAGAGAAATGCCACTTATACAACCTCCTTTTTATAGCCACTATTTTAAGGAAATTTCAGCATTAAAAAGAAATTATTTTTTGTTTTAAATTGTTAAGTTAACACCATTGGCATAGCAATTTTCATCATTCTGAAACCTATGACTTGTGAAATAGCGAAATCACAGTAAGAGCATATGGTAGAAATGCGATGGAAAATGCATGGTAACTAAGAATGTAATTATGACATGTACATATTAATCACTCAAGATAAAAAGTATACATCTTTCATTCTACTTTTCATTTTATGATAGTAATATGATTAATCCATACCCATATTTGAAGATTGTAAATTACCATAATAAATACTAGGATTTAAAATGTAGTGGAATTGTAAAATGCAAGTATAGACCATTATCTCAGTCAACCCGTTCCATACAGTTACCATTCCAGTTGGACTAGAACTGTTTTAGAAATCCGACTGTGTAATATTTAAGATAGTATATTGTTTTCTGTAGAGTGACATGAAGGCCCTGAAGGAGCAGCTGCGGCAGAAAGAAGACCAGCTTTTGGCCAATCAGCAGCAGTCCACTTTGCTGGCGGCTGAGTTGAGAGATGCCTCAAGTGCCCGGGACCGCACCATGTCTGAACTCTACCATTTAAAGGTGGAGGTGGACACCTTACGTCAGGCCAAAACAGAGGTCCAGGCCAAATGTGTCTGCTTGGAGCGCCTGGTGGAGCAGCTGAAGGCAGAGATGAAGCAGGAGGCAGTAAGGAATAATTATATAAAAACTTAAGACAGCGTTCACACTTGTTCTGATTTGGTCTTATTTCAGTCTTCCAGATTTAGTTCTTTTTGTTCCAGTTTTCATGTAGTGTGTGAAGGCTTCCCTTATTAGTTTAGTTATTTAGTTTTTATACTAAAAAGATAATTAATTAATTAACTAATAAAAAAACAATCTTGGTATAATGTCTTGCTTTATAGACTTTATGGTTCAAATTTTCATTGATTACTTTAACACTGTTTGTAGGAGCAGGGTAGGGATGTCACAATGGTCTAGTTTTTTTTCATTCACGTTGCCTAATAGATGAGCATTTCTCTTGTTTGTTACCAGATCAAACATTCTAAATGAAAAGTGACACAAACAGCCAAATTAAAAGAAATTATAAAACACATTTTTGCCCGTAAAATCCTCCATGATTATAAAGTGATGTGTATTTTCTGACTTCTAACTGAAAAACAAATGAATCTGGTCACACGTACAGCAGGCCAAAGCCGAGGAGGACACTGCAGACCCAGCTGTCGTGGCCGAGCTCCAGAGAGAGGTGGAGGACCTGAAGCTGCGACTGCACATGGCCGCTGAGCACTACAAGGAGAAGTACAAGGAATGCCAACGACTGCAGAAACAAGTGCTCCGGCTTTCAGACCAGCAAGGAGTATGTACCTAAAATTTACTGGTGATACCTTACAACAGGGCTTATCATCACCACAGAAAGAAAATAACGATACATATTAAATAACAATAATATTGAAGACCACTTGTGCAACAGGCGCATTTACTCAAAATTTCAGAATGATAATCCCTGTAAACCGCTTACATCTGTGTTAGTATAGTAATTATAAGGCAGCAGCTATAACTTCACTTCACACATCTATTAGCAGCAGCATTATAGTCTGTAGTTATAGTTCTGTCTCCTACAGTACATCTAATCCTCTCTTTGGAATCTGTAGGAGCTGAAGAAAAGCTCAGCACAAGAGGCAACAACGATTCCAACGACTGTGAGCCCAGACACATCTGTCCCAGGTACCTGAATCTTGATACTCTTTATCTTATTCTTTACTGTTTCTCTTTTACTTATGGCTATTTATTTGCATTTTTTTTTTTTTGCGTTACAGGCAGTCCTGGTTCAGCAGATCCTATGCTGGAGGCCATCATCCAAGAAAAACTGAAGGGGATAAGCAGAGAGGCGTCTGATCGGAATGACAAGTACAGGAAGTGCAAGCAGATGTTGATGGTAAACATATTTTATGACAGTGCTACTCTGATTTATCCGCTGTCATCTTTCTGTACATACTTGCAGAAAACTGTACTAGATTCTTCTTTGATGAAGTTAAATTATACAAATTTCCAAAAGACAATTTACTTTTCTAGAAGAAAACAGATATTGTACGTGCCTCTAAATAATGCCTATTCCTTCTGAAGGTTTTGCAAAATTGTATGTTCAAAATAATTTCTTAATTTGTTATTTGTTTTCTGGTTTTGCAGGAGGAAAAAGAGCGGAGCTGTATGTACGCCGACGAACTTACAAAGATGGAAGTGAAATTTAAGGAACAAGTGAAGATTAATGAAAACCTGAAACTTCAGTTGGCGGCAGAGGAGGACCGCTACAAGGTGAATATTTGAGATTGCCAGATGCCAGGAAAGCTCTTGTTTAAGTCTAAAGCGCAACAAACCTTCAGACTGTCTTAGCTCTCAGATACAGCATTTGATGGTCTTTGCTTTGGAGCACAGTCACTCTGTTGTTTATAGGCAGGAGTATCTGGGGATGACATTTTACTGCTGTTTATGTCAGAGTCCGGACAGAAGTATGGTTTGGCTCTGGGGTATTGTCTCTAGTTGCTTTGTTAATGCTACACTTGGCTCAGATCAGGCGGATATTTGCTTTGTGTCTGGTAGAAATTAAAACAGGTTATTTTGCTTTGATCATTTACTCAAAATTAAGCTTTTTATGTTTGCAAGCATTTTAGGGCTGCAAGATTTATCTCAAACTAATTTAAATTACAATTTGAATCGTTGCAAAGGCTCCAGTTATTAAAGTAACATAATTTTCTCTGTAAACAATTGCATCTCTTGTCTAATTATGTATAAAACCCACTAACTGTTGTTTAGACCCTTAAAACATGTCCTGGCATGTATTTCAGTCTTCTCTTCTCTTTGAACAGAATCTTGCTATTAAAACATAAATTGCACTTTGTTTGTCAAAAATATCCCAAATTGGGTATTTTCTTTTTTTTTTATTTAGGGGATTTTCTTCATTCTTATTTATTATTTCTTCTGTTTTCCCAGAGCCAGGTTGCTGAAAAGGGCCGTGAGCTGAAGGAACTGAAAGATGCACTAGCGCTTGTTATGAGAGCAAAGGAAAAACCAGAGGGGGTTTGTGACAGCTTTCATTTTCTGGTTTTATAGACTTCATTCACACAAAAACTGCAATTCAGAGCCATTTTGCAACTACCACTCAGGCTTTTTAATGTGCCTTTAATTGAAGAAGCAAAGTAAATGAGTTCTGTTTTTCCATTACATTACTTTGAACCACACTAAGGTTTTTTGGGACCTAAACTGTTGCTTGGAGGTAATACTGGTACAGCTAAGAGGAGCAGAATGACCCAATTTGAGGTTCAGACTGCAAATTAAATTGGCGTCTGCAGTTCACATCACTTAAACACAACACTTCATTCTCTTTGAAAATGAGCCGTTTTGGTGTTAATTAAACTGCGTGTGTAAAAGCAGCGTCAGGACTTCAGGGCTGTTGTGTGGCTTAAAGTAGTATTTGTGTACTTCCTATTTCCTATAACTTATGTTTATATAAAGCATAGGGCTACGTGATTATGGAAAAAATTATCTGGTTCATTATGAAATCTTGAAACAGTGATTTATGTTTTATAAATGCTTTCTTGTCTTTGTCATTGGAATACGCTTCAGCAGTATGGTGCAACATAAAAACAATTGATAATATTAAAATATAAACTATGATAAAATAGAAGACATGCATGTTCAAGTGTATATTAGACTTTTTGTGGGGATACTCATTGCTGAAATCAGTATTTAACATATTTTGATACACAATTTTTGTAATTCATTGGAGCAATAACAGTCTCTGCATCAAAGATGTTATATTGAAAGAATTGCATGTTAAGTTGTATGTTAATGTTTTATTTTTCAGGATAAAAGCAGCAGCTCCAAAAAGGCGGATCAGACAGCTGGTGAGAAATCCAATGTGGAAAACTTGCAGTCCGGAGTGCCTTTATTCCTGCAGTACCCAGTCCCTTATGCCCAAGATGCCCCCACGCCTCTGCTGGTGTCACAGAGCCCCAGCAAGCTGCACTTTGGCAACCCCTACTCTATCTCAGACCCGAAAGGCACGTGTCTTTTATATATTTTTTCTTTTGTGAATAACTGTTTAAGAGCTGCAAGCTTACTCGCAATCTAATTGAAATCACCATTTGAGAGATAATTAAGGACAGAGAACAAAGGTTGCAATTATCCTGGTCTTCCCTCGTGTGTTAAGATTCCTGTTTAAATGTGCAGTAAAACAATTGTAGATTTTTGATTGATTAAAGGTGCACTATTCAACTTATCTGGTTGAAGCTCCACTAATTTGTTGTCTCCATTAGTGTTTTTCCTTTGAGTGAAAAAAATCTGCAAGTAGAGCATTACATTTATTTAGCATTTATTCCACTTCATGTGTTTTTATTGCTCATAAATTCCTTTGAAAAACATGCATTCTTAGCTGAGAGCGGGGTCACCTCTCCACAGATCTGTCCTGTAACATGATTGTCTTTAATGTCATACTGTGGAATATTGTAGGCAAAAGAATAGCATCTACATGGATACAAGGTGCTGGAGCCATGAGAAAAGTTACATCGTGCATCTTTAACTTAAATTATGAATCTGTCAAGGGAAAAAAATGCAGATACTTTTCCAGCCCAACTTTGCATGACATCTTCCCATATTATTGTTCTACTCTAGATGAGGCAGATGAGGAGTTCTCCGATGACCAGCTTCTTAGACTGCCCCCTGTGGGACCACCCTCTTGGGACAGCAATGTGGTGTGTATTCAGCCAACCCGCAACCCCAGCCGCCCAGAGGGACCTGACGACTCAGCAGAAAAGCAGAACAACAACAACAATGTACGCCCAAAAACCTTTATAAAATGTTAACACACCCTTCTTTGTCTATAAATGCTGGCATTAATCAAAATGGCTCTTATTTTTAGGGTAACACCAATGAATCGCCCGCAGCAGCTGAAACACCCAGCCCATTTACAAACGATGGACAAACTGCCTTCTGCTTTGATTCCAGGTAACACCCCACGCTCTCATAAATGCCATCTCAGTTTGCTGCAACCCTCGGTGACTAAACCTGTGCATTGTAACATGTGTTAAGTGTTTGTTCTGGTGCACAGCTCTGCACTGGGACCACCGACCACCCACTCGGAATAAGACAGATGCTTTTTATTATACTAGTTACACATGTGGAGGGACCTTTCATCTGTAGAACTGTGGAATATCACTACTACTGTCACTCTAATCCTCACCAGAGTGATTGTCTGAATAAATCAGACTTAAACTTTATTGATCCACAAAGGAAATGAGTAAATGTGTTTTGGGTTAGGAGCAGCAGGATTAGCTGTAAATGACTTGAAACTGATACAGACAATCAGATCATTGACGTAAATTACATAAACTCGATACTGATTAAAATTTTATTAACTGCGCAGCCCTCGTTTGCTTACATTTCACTTAATACTTCTTCTATGTAATAATATGTTAATAATTATGTATCTTTGTAGCATGGACATGAAACGCTGTCCATTGTGCGAGGTCATCTTCCCGCCCAACTACGACCAGAGCAAGTTTGAGGAGCACGTTGAAAGCCACTGGAAAATCTGCCCCATGTGCAGCGAGCAGTTCCCGCTGGACTGTGATCAGAAGGTGTTTGAAAACCACGTGCTCACTCACTTTGATAGCCATCCGCTTAACTTTGATTAGAAAAACTAAATCTGTAAGTTCAGCCGGTAACCATAAATAAATCATTCGACAATATTTTCTGCATGTAAAGGTGTCAGGATCGGCTGTTAAGAAAAATGTAACTTTTACTTGGGTAATAAAGCTAGTGTGTATAGGCAAGGCAACTTAAGACATTTGGAAATCAGAAAGTTTTAACTGTTTTAAGGGGGTGAAAGACTGTTGTATGTACAGTATATAAAACTAACTTGATTGACTCAGTGATCACAATTACAACATGGAGAACATATCAGGGAAAGAGATATGTGTTTACCAAACATTTAAATCATCCAATCAAACGCTTCTCTTGTAAACATCATTGTAATTTGTTCATCCCTCTGAAAAAACAGCCTTGGTGCAGAGTATGCAGTCAGGGAGACATCATAAGGTGATCATTTTAACTAATACGCCTACACTAATATACAGTTTATCATTAGATCATCTATTTTAGAGAAGATTTAAGCCAATGATATTGTGAAAGCCTCGATTGTATGTGTTCAGTATGTTAGGTTTTCTTGTTTTGATTTGATGTAAGTGGATTTTTGTGTCCAAATCTTTAACTTTCTGAACATCTGCGTACCAGTGCATGCAACAACGCTTCAGTTATTTCTTCCCTCGTTCATTTTATCACCTTAACTTATTTAATTTCTTTGCTAAGTGAGTTCATGTATCTAATATAATCTACAATAAAGTCTTTGAATCTGTTGAAATAGTTTTCAGGCTTCGTTTTGTGTCAGAAAAAAAACATGTATTTCAATGTAACAAACATTTACATAAAGCAGCTTTTGTTGAAATACAGAATGTGTTTAAAACATTCACAATGACAGCATTTCAGAAATCTTTGCTTCTTACTGCACTGAACTTTAAACATCACATTCATTATAAAACAATTTAACTTTATACTGGCAGCACAATACTGTCACAGGATACAACACTTACAATTATCATGCATTTTACTCACTGTAATTCTCACTCTGGTGGCATCATTTATAACAAGATAGAACAGTAAAAAAGATGAGGCTTCTAATGATTTCATATGGCACAAAGAAGGCATGTTTCCCACACTTCTATTGCATAAATGTGAGAATGTGTCGCAGTAACATAAGTATACTAGCCTAGCTAGCCAAAATATAGAAAATATTTGTATCAAAAACAATGGCACACATGAGAAACTGGAGTCACAAGACTCCAGAACAACGCTATAAAAGGTTTGGGGAACAACCTTGTAAGTAAAGGCAACTGTATACAAGAGTCTGGTACATGCAACAGTACTGAGAGGTTGTTTTGTTTCACTAAACATTTAGAACCCTGCACAGTGACACACTGGCAAAAGGTAAATATTTGTTTAAAAAGTGCTTGAATGCATTATTGTAAAAATACTGAGGGACAGGAACAATGACCATATGAAATTGGTCTCATGAAATAATTCGACTAATACTTGTGCAATCCCTCTGTAAGTCAACAGAGATCCAAGAAAGATTCCAGATGTCATAAAGAGTTTTCTCTCTCATCCAAGACATTAATTTTTGGAACTTTTTTGTTGCTATCCTAGAACTAGATAATCTGGTAGTAATGTGGTGCTGAAATGCTTACAGTTCTCACCTGAGTTTACGTTTGTTTATGTCATTTTTACAGAAGAAACATAAAATTATATTATAAAATGAAAAGGATTTGTGAGTTGAACACTTGTCTTTCAGGTATAGTCTTCTCACTCATACTTAATTTTGACACTACAATAAATGAATAGATACATGTGCAAAATACAAAAGCTGTGAACAATCCGAAATGTTCATAAAAAATAAAATGTAGAACATGTTGATGTCATGCAATCAAAAATAGTGTCATAATACGTAAAAATGAGACATAATAAACTTTAAAAGAGTAACAAAGAGCTGGTGCTGATTGGTCTGAGTAGAAAGTGCTGGTAGTTGATTACTGGGTCATTTTTCGGATGAGGTCCGTGGACACAGGGGGGTGGAAGTTGATGGTGTGATGACGAAGGCCCTGAGGAGTCTTGTAGCTCTTTCCACATCGACACTTGAAGGGTTTTCGTACTCGGATCTGGGTCCGGTGACCGTTCTTTGCATGATACTTGATCCCGTTAACATTCTGCAAGAAAGTGACATTTTTTAATTGATAATGCAAAATTTCATGAGAACTAAAGCAACCCTATATCTACAGGAAAAAAATGTATAAATGATGTTTGCAAAAACTGACAACTGCACTACTTTAAAAAAATCTGTCAGATAAAAGAAATCCTGCTTGACTTTTACGCCTTGCAAGTTCCACCATACAGCATTAAACTTGTCTATCTCCATAGAGACAAGGAAATAACACCACCAGGTCGATAAACAGGTCAGATCTGTGGAGATTTGGCGACACCCCCTCATAGCAACAATGCACGTTTTTCAAGATATTGTTTAAACAATCAACACTACATTTATTGCCACACTGTGGATATCAAAGCAATAACATCTCCACAGAGACGGTCAAGTAATAAACACCCCACCATAAAAGTTACATATTGCACCTTTAAGTCATTCCTTGATTCCTTCTATAAATTACTGAAGATTTGTCAAATGTTTCAATTAACTAAAAAAAATCATATTACATCTTTTATATACTTTCCTCTGCCTAAACAAGGGCCTTTTGCCACTTCCTTACACTTAGACTAAGTTATCGGCCGTAACTCTGTCATTCACGTCAGCAATGCAATTTTCTCTGGCTGCACATAATTTATCCCGACCGCAGAAGCCAGATGTGAAAGATGTGGACGGAAAATCCAGTAAAACACGGCTTTACTCAACTGGACTGAGTGTGTGGATGTATTTATGTTCACACATGTAATACACAAGAACAATAGTCTCTGTTGACTATTACATACATCTCCAGTTGTGCAAATAGGCAAATAATTCATATCACGAGTTTTTTAGAGCCTAAGATTTATATTTCCATTTGATTACGATTCTTTTACACTTTGTAACATTAGCTTGTTCTTTTTATAAAAGTGACAGTGTTGTGATTGGTGGAATCTGGCTGTCACTCACTCAGAGCATCCAACTGAGAAGGTGGAGGGCAAAAGTAAGTTAAGGTTAAGATACACTTTATTAGAAATCTTTGAATGTGTTTTAGAACATATATAGCATATTGCACTATTTAACTGATGGGCAATGGATGAAATGATCTCTCCAATCTGACTGATTGAACTGTAGATCATATTGCCCACCGTACCCAGTCTTCAGTCTTGGGCCTACCTTGTATCTCTTCTTACAGCCCGGGACAGGACAGGCGAAAGGCTTTTCGTCGCCTCCATTCATGCACATCGAGCTGAGGATGGACTCGGAGCTGATGGCGCTCTCTGTGGTCCACGACTCGTCACTGTCCGACTCCTCAAACTCCACCTCCTCCTCGTCACATTCACTACCTGCGAATTCAGACAAATGACAATTTCAATCATTTTATGAGTCAATACTATACACGGGACAGGGCTAAAAATGTTACGTTGGTAATCTGAAACTGTAGCGATGGAAATTGTTTTAGGTTAGGGTTGCAGGATTAATCATAATCAATTCATATTTTTATTGAAAATTCTTCTAGACATGTTTAATATGCAAACTTTGAACAGAATCCTATTATTAAAATGACTTGCTATTCAAATCCCATTGTTTGAATTACTGTGCTTCTACAGCTAATGGAGGTAAAAATAAATACAAATACTTCAATGCGTTACACTTGACGACATATTGCTCTATCAAATATTTTAAAATAAAAATTATAAAAGGTATGATTTAGTTTTTATTTGGATTCCACTTCTCACAACCTAAATATCTCCTAAATGTGCGACTTATTTTACACTATTAACTGCTCCTTTTAATACTATAAAAATATTAATACTTTGTACTTTGCTTATTTTGAATTTATTCAATTACAGATGTCTTATTGCAGTGGGCTCGCCTATCCAAAGATTTGACCTGGAAGTTGGTCTGGTGTGAACTGCTTGTCTCCTTGGAGATTTTGAAATATAACGCAATCCTGTGTAATTTTTCCAACTAAGTAGTATAATTTCCATGGAGACGAGCAGGTGCCAAGACCGTCCATCAGAGAAGTTACATAGTGCCCGTTTATGTAAAGAAGTAAATATGGCACCTGTGGGGGTGCTGCTGCGGAAGGATGATGAGGGGGTGATGGGTGGAGTGACGGGGGGAGTGAGGCTTCCATTAGAGTGTCGTGGAGGAGTGGTCCGGCTCAGAGACGACTTCGGCTGCACCTTCTTCTTCAAGGCCTCATGTTCTCGCCGCGCAGCATCTGTCATGAATCTGAGACGGAGGGAAACACGTCCTGGTTTATCTCTTGTAAAACATCCAACAGTAACTTGCAAAGATGTGACATGAAAGCTACTGTCGAACATGGAAAGAAAGAGTTTAGTGGCTTGTTGCAGACACCCTTATGCCTGGTTTACAGTGGATAGTAAAGTAAATGTGTATCATAAAATAAAAACAAAGTGGAATTAACAAATTACAGAAGAGCCACATCAAGACAGTGTTGGTGAAGGCAGGGAGACAGTAGAGCTTCTTGTACACAGACTTGTTGCTTACAACATCTAAAGCCACCATTCAAGAACCATATCAAAGCAATGGGACGAACCATAGGCAATAAAAGAAACCAACTTAAAACATGGCGTCAAGGCAGACTCTCAGTGAAGTGCAGAAAACATGCAAGCGCCACACAATTATCTGTCAAAAACAAAAACATTAACTGTAAATATATAGAGAGATGCTGTGAAACAACAAGAACCCACTACCTGTCCTACCACTGGTTGTACTATGACTGGTAAAAAAAAAAGTGTTGTAGATAACTGGTGAATAAAACAATTCCAAAGGAATCTTGTAACTCCACTAAGGAAAACTGTTTAGTTTTGTTCACCCACCTGTTGATGTAACTAAGAGCGACATATGTGGGCTGTGTCTGTTCCTGCTTCTCTAGAAGACGAGGGTCTGTATCTAAACAGAAAATAAAACAGAAAAAAGATACATATTTAATAATGAATACAAGCACAGGTGATACAACTTTGAAAACTGAAATATAAATAAATAAGTACATATTTTAGATAATAGTTGCACTTATAACAAACTAAACTTGGCAAAAGAATAAGTTAGGGTAGGGATATTTTCTTACATTATCAGAATAACTGGACTGAATATTTTTGCAGTCTGTCAGAAACATGCCAAATTGTGCACATAAATGCAAAATTTGAGGTTCAACACATATAATAATAATACGTTTTTTTTTTAATCATCACAAATGTTCAGAAATTTTATATTTTACATCCTTGTTTATAAGGCTGCACTGTTTTTTTTGTTTTGTTTTGTTTTTTTGGTAGTTTGTTTATTATAGACCATTCTGCATCAAATGCTGTAATTCCATAATTATCCTATAAACAATATATCACCCAGGTCTAGTGTAACATTTAGTAAAATAATGACTGTAGAATACTAATGAAGTGCATTTACTGACACAGGAAGTCCAACTATGTCTGTAAATAATCAGACACATACCAGAAATGTTATGCTTACAGTGCTGCTGCTGTATAGATACCATATAATTTCCATAGGGGTAATTGTTAATGAAGCGACGCACATGTGACCACATTAGACACACACTGTGCTCTCATGCTGTGCTGCAGACGCATATCTACCCCACTGGTGCTAAATATGCAACAATAGCCAAGATCCAAGGCCCTGAGGAGGACTGGGCCTGCTTCAAACACGGCTCTGGCCCTGTTCATGTGGGAGGAAGCACAGAGAGCCCATAAAAGCACAGACTACCAGCTGAGTCTAACTGTCTGCCCCTGCACCGCTGTGAAACCACGACCCCCATGTTTCCATCCACCATTTTGATTCATTATTAAAGCACAGTAGTTACACTTGGAGCCATTAGACACTCAGTGTTAGAAGAGATCCTGCCCCACATTAATCTGCATGCTGGCTGTTCTCAGGGTGTTCTGTAAGCTATTAAAACAAGGCTAATTTTGTGGATAATTGTGAACCTTTCAGTGTAATGCTGACATAAAATCCATCCAGTTTATAGAGGTGGCAATATAACAAAATATCAAAATTGTTGTTTTTAAGATGTGTAAATTGGATATCTGTATAATAAGAATAATAATATATCCTAAAAGTCAAAAGAAATTATAAAAAGTAAAAGAACTTGCATAATGTTTCAAATAGACCTGTCACGATAATTATTATATCAACTTATCGACCAACATGTTAGAAGGAATTATAATTTTTCCATACATTATTTTCCCCGTTTTACGAGATTTGAGCTTTAGAGTTGAATAATTAACTTAAATGATTAATTACAAATACAAACTAACTATTAAAGTGTTTCGTTATGCTATTTATTAATTTCATATTGTATCGTATTGTATATTTAGAATTTTTGGAGGGATAATTCTACTTTAAGGTTATTGTGTCAGTGGCATAAATGAGTTTTAATATTACCGTTTATCATCTATATTTTCTTAAATTATATATCACACTTCAAAATGTATTATCTTTACAGGCCTAGTTTCAAACAAAGTTATGAAGAGTTTTGTCTCTTTTGTGGTAAATTTTATATTCACTTGTGCAAACCTCAACTAGGATAAGTTTTCAATGGATTGCCAAAGTATCGTTGTTGTGATGATAACCTCTCCCCAAACAAATAAAGACAGTATCGCTCACCCCTACCAGCTTGCAAATTTTGCACAGAAAATGGTTGAACAGATGCCATGTCCAGATTATTTTAGCACAGCCCCAGTGCTTTTAGCCACAGTGTGAAAAGAGCTGAGTAGTGTTTTATGGCTCTGCAGGTAGGCCTCAGGCACACCTCAAACTGTGCTGCTTTCAACTCACATGGTTTCTTTCAAAGCCTCAATCCTACGCAAGTGTTTCATTAACAGTAGATTTATCCTCCCGAAACAGACGACAACACCCTCCTCTAGTCCGCAGCCAAAATGACCAAAACATGGCAGAAAAAAAACATGATGACCATTCCTATAGGATCTAAAAACCAGAGGTGCTAAGAGTCTTGTCTGAGCAGTGTGCGCTGGTATGTGTTTGTATGAAGAAATAGCTCCAGGTCTCTGTAATGAGGCAGCAGTGGGGGAGTGGTGGTCTGTTCATGGAGCATTCAAACAGCAGTGGATCAATCTGCTCAAACACACTGTAAATCACACACACTTCAGGTGGGACTGGGACACAGGACCAGGGGGAGGGGCAAGCTGGAGGGGGGTCCAGTCTCTAATCAGTCTACACAGGTGGTCCCTCCGTGGTGGTCATATGCAGCAAACAGGAAGTAAGTAAGACATAACTTTGCACCACAAGTTGGACAAATCTGAGGAAAATAATTTGAACAATAAATCCTTATGTCCTTCTTTAGTCATAATAATAATATCTATGCTACACTTTACATTCATGAGTCTCAGTTTAAAGTGCATACAAAACATCACCAAGTTAAAATATCAGCTATATAGAAATAAAATGTTGTATTCTATAAATCATATCTATATTATCCAGCTACTATAAAGTCATAAAATCCCAGAGGGTGCATATTTCTTAATTGCTTGACCCGCTGTTGGGTCAGCGCTGTAGGTGAAGAAGGTGATGCAATAACATGTTATGGTTAGGGCCCCAGAGACGACCTGCAGCAGAACAGCACAAGGCTTCCTCTGCAGAGGGGAAGTCACGCCTGTGTCTGCCTCACAGCAGAGCCTATGTGCAGCTCAGTGCCCTGAGCACACAGCATTATGCTGACATGTTTATGGACGCTGGGAGCAGCAGGGGCCATTACCAGGAGTGGTGGCACAGCTAATTCATAATGATCTGACCTCTGAGGAGGAAATGAAATGGACTCAAGCTCCGTCTGTGAGCTGCCTTCAGGTTACTCAAACAACACAGTCATCGATTATAACAATGTTGGTTAAAGAACCAAATAAAATGGTTAAATACACTTTGGTAAATGTATAATGACAGAGAGACACTTCATTTGTGTTCATATCATAAACACATCCCCCCTGGTTTGAGCCCAGTTCAGTTCAAATGTTTGTCCTAGTTTAGTCCAAGAGTAGTTCCCAGTTAAGTCCCAGTTTAGTCCCTACTCTTGAGTAAATGCAGTATTTCCTGTAAATAAATTGATGGCAACATTGTACCAGAGCATTCATCTTTGTATCAGTGCCATTACCCAGTGTCGCCCGGTGTCTGGGATGGTGAAATGTAATTAGGTCCACCAGGTGCACAGATCAGGGAAGTAGTAACTGCTTCTTAAATTTATTACTTCCGCAGATTTGGGGGGTTACTTTCTAAATTAGTCTCCTCTGAGAACAGGCCACAAGAAGCCTCGTTGTTTTAAAACAGGACACTTTCTTGAGGCCCAGTCCCAGCAGCGGTCAGCGCGCTATGAGATCTGAAAAACACAGCTCTGCAGTTTTCTGTTGGTTCTGCTACATGCATCTAACTAAATACATCTTTAGATTAGTTCTTCCAGAATAGCTGATAATTAAAACGTTATAACAGTTAGTTACTATAATTAAATATTACATAGTAATAAAGTATGACATAATAGGACATGTGAGGTGACGGTTCAGGTTATACAGATGTCTTCTATCCAGTTCAATTTAAAGAAACTAACACCCTAAAATTTTATTGAATGAAAAGTGCACTGCCACTGTAATGGGTTATGCATTATAGCCAAACAGATCAAATCCCTTGCACAGCAGTGCCACCTGTTGATCACTGAGTTAATGTGCAGGCAAACTCCCACACAATGGTTCTCACTTGAAATCCTGGTGTCTAATTATTATGGAGGTGGGGCATTAATCAGAAGATATTGTGAAGAAAGACAGAACATGCTGTATATATGTTTCACCAGTAATCCCAGTGGGGCAAATTAGTGTAGAATATCTGAGAAGAGAGAAAGTGTGTCAACTCACTCGATACAGGCCGACCAGACCATTTAGGAAAAGAATCAGAAAAGCAGCAGCTACAAAATTAACACGGAGGAGCTTATCATCACTTCTGACTAAAGCTACCATAATTGATTAAAATAAACCAATGCGTTACCCAAAATATGTTTACAATTGTATTTCCAATAAATACAGCAACCCAAACTGGATTGTACAGACAAAGTAGCCTAAGTAAATCTATCCATTGCCCTATGTCACAATTAGAGAGATTAATGAGATATTATACACTTATTATCACAGTACTAGTTGTGCAAACTGCACGAACTCCATAAACATGCATTTTAAATAATTATAAAATAAAAATGTTTTTCATTTCTGGAAATAATAGTGTGCAGCTGCTCCACATGTTTCACTGGAGGGGGGCTTATGTGCGCGCGCGAGGGTCGTGCATACAGGCACGCGCAGCCGGAGCGCTCGCGCGCTATGCTCAGGTTCCAGTGAAAAGCACGAGAGCTTTTCAGGTGTTTACCAACACGCTGCTGCTAATGAATGTACCGTAGTGTAAAGTGAGGAATACAGGTCTGTGCGCCTTCTGTGCGACTGTAATGACTGTAATCTGCACCACACCTAGCAACAGGGTTGTCAGGACGCAGGAAGTAAGTTGTTAGCTAAAATTAGCCACACAGAGCTAGCTATGGAGCACAGGCACACGGGCTGGAGGCACTGAGGGATCTTACCGATGTGGTTGTCCTCGATGTGCACGATGAGCTCGGCCAAAGAGTCGAAGTTTAGCCCGCAGGCCCCGAACCTGCAGCTGTTGGAAAAGAATGAAGCGGCGGCGATGCCTGTCATTGTGAAGGCTGCATTAAAGACAAGAGAGCGGCGGCGGGGACACGGGACAGCGGTGCGAACAGCTGGAGCCACGGGGCAGGGGCGGTGCTGTGCGCCGCGGCCGAGCCCCGTCAAAGCGAGAGAAGCGCACAGGCAGACCGGAAGTGCGCATCATTTCATTTGCACATTTGTTCTTGTGCACTCTGTCACTGATAAAGTACAATATTATGATTATTAAAGCTTCTGCGTGCCCATGTCGGTAAGTAGACCGAAACGAATTAACCATTAGCTTACACGTGTATTTCTTGTTAGGCTTTTCCCCAAGATCTTTAGCATCCATATGGGCAGATCCCCTAATAATAAAAGTAATTTCATTTAGACCTACATTCCCAGAGTTTGTAGGGAGCACCTACATGAAAGTGGCTCTGCTGCAGGCAAAATGCACATTTTTAAAACAGGACCTGTTGAAGTGTCAATTACAGAGCTTATCATTTGGTTTGACGTGAACAGGCACAATGCAGAGATCAGGCCTAGACGCTTAAGAAGAGTCTCAGTCTAAATGTAAATGTGGTCTAATTGCATTTTATTTTGACAGACGGCACACGCTATATAAACTCCACAAACTTGGAGAAACCTGTGCTCGTGTCCACCAGGTGTCGCCGCTGATCCAGTCTGTTAAACGGACTATCTCTGGATGATGAACGTAAACTTCATGATTTTGATTGACCTCTGACCTACTACAGAAGAGACTCGAGGATATCAGCGGAGAGACTTTAGAGTGTAAGTATGACTATGCTTTATGCCTAAGATGTAGGCTACAATACAATATTGAATTAAAATATTACAAAAACTACACAGTGTATGTAGTCTAAATAAATCATCCTCATATTTTGACAACATGGGTCCTAACGCCCCAATACACAAGTTGGATCTATGAAAAAAATATTATTCAAAAAAAAAATATTATTCAAAAAAAAATATTATTCCAAAAAATCTCTCCACACAGAATATGGAAAGCAACTTTTTTGTTCTGTCTGTTTTTTATATATTTGTTATTGAAATTCAATCCTGTTTCAACAAAAAGCCCTTGAGTGCTAATCATCCCAAGGTGATCTTTCTCAAAGCCATTACACAAAGGCATAATAATAAAAAGGTTTAGTATAATATAGATCAAATCTGCTTTAGTGTGGGTCAGTGACCCAAACTATTCTGGCTCTTGCAGCCTTAATAGTCTGCTCCATTGGGAGCATAATGTTTGGATTGGTTGCGAAATATATAGACCATAAAGAGACAAAAGGATGTCATAAAGGTTGATTAAAGCTCTGGTTAAAAGACAGAGGCAGACAGGCTCTGAGTTATGGGGCTTTTCACACAGCGTATTGTTGAAATGACTATGCTCTTAGAGAGTGGAGTGCTCGGTGCAGAGTGGTAAACATTTCTCCCAGTGAGCAGTCATTAATCCCAGAGTCAGGACTCACTGCCACTGTCTGTGGTGCTTCAACCACAGCCGCCCGGCACCAGCGGGTCATGCAGTCCAACATAAATGTGCTGGGCCTCAGACATGTTTAAATCTTCTCTAATGTGTTGGAGCAGTACTCAGACCCCTGACAGACTGTTCTGTTGGGCATTTAGCAGTTAATTACACAGGTACAGCAAAGCTTTTCTCAGTGAGTTTTCATTCAGTAATCAAACCTTCTGAATTACATTTTCCCATCAAATTATTGTTCCCTCTTTCAATTCAAACTTCAAAAGTAATGTGATTGCAAATACAAGATGCAGAGAAAGCATTTGTCCTTACTGACAGAACAGTCAGATTGAGCTCGGGTGAGTGTACAGCATGCGCACACATCGAGGGGCAGAGGCTCAGCTCAGTGTGCGACTGCTGCCCTCGTGTTTTGGTTCGTTATGGTTTGACGCTCGGGTTTGTCTCCCAGCGCAAAGTGTGTGGTTGTTTTGCATGTGCGCTTGGGACGTCCACCCTTTTGGCTCCCGGTTCGCTCTTCACGGTCTGTCTCTGGGCTCGGGGCGTGTTTTGGCTGACTCCGCCCGCCTCGCGCCGCCTCGCGCCGCCTCTCTCGTGGACCGCAATGATTTAGAAGTTCAGGAATCCCACGTGACGTCAGCCCGGGGTGACGTTATGCTTCTCTAAATAGATCGTATTGTAATCTTTTCTCAGTCCAACGTGGTTTCTTCTGAGAGACTGCTTCACATTTTCTACATTTGTTTGGTAAGTTGAAAAGCATACTTGAGCACGCGGGCTTTCGTGCATGCGCATGTACTGGCTTTGTGTCACTCCGCGCTTCTGCTACTTTTGTCTCTTTTTGTGCAACAGCTTGTGATGAGTTCGCTCCACTGTTTGCCAACGCATTGTTTCTCCTCATTTATTTGCACGGAGGATAAAAGAATAGAAAATACTGGATCGGTTTTGTGTGAATAATTGCATTGCCATCTCACTCCATCGTTGCCTGTTGCCTGTTGAAGTTCAACTCGAGTCAAGTGCTGCTGCTCGGACCAGTCCGTGTCTAGCGCACCGCAACACAAGGGTACTCGTGGTAATTGATGAAAACATTAGTGCACAGCTTTTTCATTGCACTAGACGTTAATGTACCACCCGAGCGCTCCTCCGTCGTCCCTGCGTCTTTGCACCATTGTCACGCCTGTTGTCCCATCTCCGGATAGAGCCTTTAACCGGTGCACGCTGCGTCCTGTCACTGCCCGGATGAAAACTATGCAGATTGAAAGGTTCGTTTACAATTACTGAAAAACTCAATCTTATTTATGCCTTATTTATCCGTATTAGAAGTGACCAGCATTACGTCATTCTGCAGGTTAGTCGATATTTGATTAAATGTTGTCGAGACGCGGAGGTTTCTTTGAGAAGGGTTGCTGACAAGGCGTGCTTTGTGACCGCTGTTCGTGTTTTAATCACTCGCTTTTATTGCGTTTATGTGACAACACTATCAATAACCACTTGTTTTTAAGTGAATTCATTATGGTCTAGTTTTATCCCCTGTCTAGTTTTAATTGGCTGCATCAATAGTCTAAGATATGTGAGTGTGGCACGTTATAATTATCTTTTGGCAATAGAAAAATACTGACATGTTTTGTTGCAATACACTGCGCTACAAATTATGAAGTGCCTGTATAAACAACTTCATCTCTGTTGAAACCCACCTTGATCTAATGCTAAATTAAAACTATATACTGTAAATCATATTGTAATTAATAAAAAAAAAAATGTACATGTATTTTTTCACTTTTATTCAACAAGATAATTTGCTTGTCTTGTACTTTTAGTAGTTTTTGTGACTTGTAATACAAATTCACACTCAGGTTGTTGAATGCATTAAAAGTTTCTGTGCATCTGGTTTCCTTTACATTGCATTTAAAGGATTTAGATAATTGTCCTTTTTTATAGGAAATCCTCCACTGTAGGTTTTGTACACATGGACCAGCTTTGTTTTGGTTTTGAGCTAAATGTTTGCTTTAAGTGCAGGAGAAGTTGCCTCAGGCGTTGCCGAGTTCATACCATGGACCTGAGTTGTCAAAGTGTAGGTGAAAGGTATAGGGGGGTTGATTGACCACGTTTCTTTGTGTGTGCCATAACCCCCAAATGCCTTTCCAGCTAAACCCTCTTTTCCTCACCATATTGTTTAAATTGTTCTATACGACCTACCTGGAGAATTCTCCCTTGCTCCACATGAAATCGAACTCCACAGCCTAATCCTTCCCCCCTCTCACATCAGGATTTAGTTAATGTAAAGTGTAACTAAATTTCCTTTGCTAACCTAAAACATCTATATCAAAGACGAACAGTCAAGGTGAAGGTGGTATGTGCCGATTTTTCTGTGAAATTTGTGATGATTAAAAAGTATGTTAAGTTAAAAGTTAAAATTTATTGATTTGTGTGTAGTGAAATTTATTTGTCCATTCTGCGAAAACACACAATTTAAAGGCAGAGTATCATGTATCATGACAAGAATAAAACCTGCATATTCTTGTCATGATAGTCAATACACTCAAGATTTTTATTTTTTTATTTTTATTTTTTTCATAAAATACAGCGATACAGAAGACTGTGGGCTCCTTTAACATCTTCATTGTATCAACAAGATTTTAAACAGTCAAATGTAATTTTCAACCCATAACAATAATTATTTCTTAAATTTTACCATGCAGTCATAGTATTTCTGAAAAAGGTCAAGACTGTTCATAGTACTAATTCCTGCTCAAATAAGTATCTTGTTTCAATACTAGTTTTGCTATCGATCAATTGCATTGACAACCCTAGAATGTAAAGGATGGGATAAGTTTACACTTCTTCCCTCCATTCCCTTTTTGGGATATGTACATGAATTGCACTGATGGAAGTATTCTTATTATAAATCAATGTTTTGCTATATGAACATATCTTGTAGCAAAACATCAAAAATCTTGAACCTTTATAAAGTATGATATGTATGTTGTTGGTGTTTATTGTGTGACAGCAGAGCAGGTGAGTCCAGGGGCCGCTCTGCAGATGCAGGGCCCCTGTAGTGAGAGAAAGAGGGAGCAGAGCTGAGCCTGACACAGAGACCCTGTCCAGACGTGGTCCTGCAGCCTCCGTCATGAACTACAGCTTGTTAGGAAAACAGGACTACTGCGCTAAACACAATATTTGAGTGTTTTGACTGAGCTTGAGGAAATAGTCTGTGCCCATGTAAAAGGCACATATACACCCATAATGTATGAAGGCATTCATGGTTGACACGGGACATGCAGCTGGACTCATGCAAATCGTTTTGTGTAAAATATGTGTCAACAGCAACAGCTATTGAAAAAGTCAGATATTTTAATTCTACGTTACTATAGACAAACTACGCTAGATGCAGACAATTGTCTTGTGTACAGTTTTTTTTTTCACATAGAATCACGATATTCAGTGAATTTTATTCTCTCATTGACCTCATATTATTATGTAGTTAAATATAAACATGTTGGTATTGATTTATATTATTCACAAAATGTTTAGTTTAGCTGAATCCCTTTAACATGGGTTACATATACTTAACCTTCTCTATACTTTCAGTATGATGTTTTCAGGGATGC